CCGATACTAGAATGCCACCACCACAGCAATATCTGCAGGAACCGTTACCTCGCCCTCTACCACAACCTCCCTTGGCTTTACAGCACCAGAGTCAAGCGATTGCCATCACACCAACTCAAAACAGGCGAGTCTCGGACAAAGAGATACTCAAGAGGGTTCACGAGTATAAGATACGTGAAGGCATAGCACAGACCAGAGAGGTGACGAATGCGGGTGTGGCGGTTACTGTTGCATTGAAACCAGACGGTTCGCACTTTGGAGTACAGGATGAAGCGGCTGTCGACTGGAGCGGCAAGGAATCAGACATATCTGGGATGAGTTTAAGTGGTCATAGGGTAGACAAGAATAATGGTGGGAGCGGACAGGTTAAAAAGAAGGAAGGATAGCAGATGTAGGAGGAGCTGCGATGCAATGCAAATCGAAATCCGGATATCATGCAACGTTTCGTGATGCTGGCTTACATTGCCATTGGTCACAGGCTGCATTTTTACCACATTCTTCATAGCTAATATTGTGTAATTGTACATTTTTGCTGATGGTACATAGGTAAACGTGCATAAGCTCTCGATCTTTACTGCATCTTTCTCGCACCCGATGTATTCTCAATTTCCGCCATCTTGCCCTCTCGCCAAAACCAGACTGCAGCAAGCGTCGCGCCTGGTCCACCCATAGCCGTCACCGCGGCGATGACGAGAAAGCTCTCAAAAATGTTCTCGAGTGTGGCTTCTCCATTCTTCACCCGCTGCACATCGCATATAGCGACCCAAGACGGAATGATGTACATTGATCCGATGATGAGCCAGTCCCACTGGAAGATAAACAGAAGGCCCCACTCCATACCCTTCTTCCATGTGTAGGTACTGGGGATGAATACGCGGGCGTAAGTCACATCGGGATTGTCGGATAGGGAGATACCACGGATGGTGATCCAATGCGTCGCCACAGAGAGAACGAAAGCGAAAGCATAGAGAACCTTGAGACTTCGGACGTCCGCACTCTTGTTCTTCGTGGTGATGACGGTCGAAGAACCTGAGAGAGCAACGAACCATAGCGGGATATTGGCGAGAATGGGCGTGAACTGCCAGAATGCGAGAAGGTTCTGGAGCATGTCTGAATCTAGGCCGGGGATGAATAATGCGATGGTAGGCACAACGTAGAATAAGAGAATCCCTGGGAGAATCGCGCGCGCATAAGGTAATGGAACAGTGCGTCCAGTCTGGAAGTATGATTTAGGGCTTGAGATGCGATGCAAAGCTAGCCACCAGAGAGTCACTATGCAAGCTGCCCCCACATTCTGGTAGATGAAGGCCCAGATAGAAATACTTCATATTATCAGCAACATGCGGCGACTTTCGTCAAATCCCTCCTGATGGTTCACTTACTATTTTACCCAACTACCCTGGTTCCGCTCCCGGCATGCCTCGACACCATGCACCGCAAGAAGGGGCGTGATCTGGATGAGGAAATGGAGCTGTTGCCAGTAGAAGGTCTCGCTCCATCCTGTGGGCCCATACAAGAATGCAGCCACCAAAAAAGACAGTCCCTCGTCTAGAATCCGGATACCCGTATAGTGCTTCTTTAGGGACACGCCGTTAGGCAGAGTACCTGATGCAGCTACGCCCAAGAAACCAACAGGAACTTCATTTTGAGCAGTCGTAATGCGCATAGTATAGAACCCAATCCCAGCTAGAACTGCCATCACAACTAGTAGCGCATTGTTGTTCGGGCGGCCGACGCGTGCTGTTGATGTTGCCATGATGGGTGGTTGCTGACGGTCAAGGGAACAACGCGCAGTAGCAGATGACCGCGGTTTTATTTGTCGTTCCTCGGCGCGCCTTGGACACAACTTGGCGAGCTTCGCCTCTTTTATCCAGCCCTGGAAGTCAGCTCGGACAGGTATTTCATCCGGTGGTTGCGGGGGTTGCTTATGTAAAGCGACACGAAGCGAATCGCCTCATCATAGCTTCTCAGATACGATCTCCTCACTAACAAAGAAGACTGCTCCATGTTGATATTGATGAAATGTTGCAGAAAGGAAGAAATCATGACCAGAGTCTTCCCTAGGCTCACCGCAAACTAATCGGAGGTGTCTAACGTGACCGGTAAATAACCCTACCTCTTCGGCGAATTCAATGGCAAAATCGAGATAGGCATTGGCCTGGTGACATTTGAAACTCAATTCGAGCTGGAATCTGACGAAGACGAGATCGGATGTTTGTCTTGCGATTCGTCGATGGTTGATCCCAGGTAAGTGTACCGGACGCTTGGTTCGGCCCTTTCGGCTAAGCGGCACATTGCGATGGCCGGAACGTGTTTCAACGGCGTTGGTGGTGAGAGGCCATCCGGTTTTGGGGGCGTGACGTCAACGCACCGCCTCATCGAGTGGCTCACATTTCCATGGTTTTTATCGCTGTTCGCATAACAGTCCTAACGGTGTCGAAAAAGCAAGCCGACTGTCTAACTCGATAGATTAGAGCTTGTACAGTTTTGCGGGGTGATGTGCCGCGACGGTACCTGCCAAGGCGATGCAACCTCGATGGTTGACGCGGAGGCGCCGCGATCGCGTCCACCACGCGACGCTAGAGAGGTGATGTCATAGCACCCATTCAGCGACGTTTGACGCAGCCTGGAGCAAGCACTATCGACAATATATCCCTCTGATGCAGGGACACTGCCACATGTGGCATAGTGTCTCCAGTTTATGATGCGCTCTCCAACGCTATTACGCATTGGCGTCTTCCATGTCTCGGAATCTTGGCTGCCATGGTTTGACAGCGCGTCGCGTCTTCCTTCTTGTAAGCTTGGTTTTCTTGTCAGCCCTTGTCTACAACCTCTTTCTTTCTCAAACCTTACATCGATATCCTAGGAGTTCCGGAAACTTCGAAAATTACGAGCTATGGTCGGAACCAGACGCAACATTCTCAACAGCCACAACAGCAACGGCAGCATTAACAGCAGAAGCAATGCCAACGAGTTCAGTAAATACCAGCGTGTCGACCTGGAAGGCGGATATGGAGGAAACAATCCTGTCAAATCAAAGAAGCGATTTCGTGATGCGATCGACCAAACCGTAAAGGACAATCGCGCCAATGAGATGAAAAAGAAGTTGATCGATAATATCGACCATGAAGCGCTGGAATTTTTCAGGAAGAGCGACGAGAGTGTACGTCTCAATCCATACGTCTACTTGCAACGATGCTAATATGTGTTCCACAGCTCAAATCCATCAAAAATAAGAAAGTACGCGGCTTCTACGAGGAGCAGAACTCGCGCTTGGACGACTGGGCAGAAGTAGACATGGTTGTTTCTTCGCTTGCCGATGATATTGTGGATAGTATGAATCCGCGAGACACCGATGGCGACGGAGTAGCAGAAGACCGTGGACCATTGGGCAATAGCGGCGAGGAATTGGAACCTTTTCTCCCCGAAGAAGAGCGTGACCGAAGAGCGAGATCTGCCAAACACGCACGGTGGGCGATAAACGTAAGTCCTAAAAACGGAAAATGTAGCCAAAGCTGACAGTTTTCAGATTAACGTTCTTGTAAACGTCCTTCTACTCGCGGCCAAGGGTGTAGCAGCAATTTGGTCCAGCTCTTTGTCGCTGATCGCGTCCCTTGTTGATTCAGCACTTGACTTGCTATGCACCATCATTATCTGGACCACCAACAAACTCGTTGGCTGGCGTTTGCAGAGTCTAAAAAAGAAGTTTCCCATCGGCCGACGACGCCTCGAACCCATTGGAATTCTGGTCTTCTCTATCATTATGGTTATATCGTTCCTCCAGATTCTCCAAGAGTCGGTCAAGAAGCTCCTGCCAAGCGGCGACCACAGTGTATCCCAGTTGCCACCCGCTGCTATCTTCGCCATGGTAGCTACAATCGTCGTCAAGGGCACTATCTGGTTCGGATGCGCAAGGGTCAAGACAACGCAAGTACAGGCCCTCGCCCAAGACTGCAAAACTGGTACATTCGTGTCTTCCGCCTACCACGTATATCTGCTAACCAACACAGATGTTTATTTCAACACACTTTCCCTTCTTTTCCCTCTCATCGGCGGCCACGTCGGCGTCTGGTGGCTCGATCCTCTCGGCGCAGCTTGCCTTTCGCTATACATCATCTACGACTGGGCTTGCACTTGTTTCGAAAATGTCACTCGTCTGACCGGTGAAGCAGCCAATGACCGTGTGGAGCGCAAGATGATGTACATGGCGTACCGCTTCTCACCCCTCGTTGAAGGGTTCAAGAGTCTCAAGTGCTACCACGCGGGCGATGGTGTCTGTGTGGAGATTGATGTGCTCATGAAGGAGGAGACACCGTTGAGGAAGTGCCATGATATCGCAGAGACCCTGCAATACTGTCTAGAAGGCTTGAATGAGGTGGACCGCGCTTTTGTGACAATGGACTGTGAGTATTTCGATCGAGAGACGAGCGTTTTCGAACTTGCAGCTAATCTTTTGCAGACACTTCACAAGGTCCCACAGGCCATGCTGGTAGCTAGGTTTATGCCTGCCAGTGATGTACATTCGGAACCATTTCTTCTTCTTAGCATAGCATGCCTGGCGTTCGGTCAGTATCATAAACACTTACTTTTTTCAATTCAACTATTCGGTAAAACCTTTCCTCTAATACCTTATCGCTGCATGATCTACCCGGCGCCACGACTTATGAGGTTCGCGAGAAGCGCGTTGTGGTCAACACATGGAATGGATGACCAAACCTGGACAAGCTGAGACTCAAAATATCCCGCTCATCACCGCAAGCCCAGACTTGTGCAGTACTTATTCAGTCTCATAGGTCACAACGATCAACTTAGTCTGAGCTTTTATTTCCCTGGGTATCTTGAACTTAACGCCAAATCGTACAATAGTATCCCTGTAGAATGCTACGCGGGAACTTGAAACTAAACCAATGACACAAATGTGTGCCATATGGATCAAAAGAAAAACAAGAACGCTCACAGAAACAGACACTCGCTGAAAACCCCGCTTCGGCCCTAAAGAATCACTCACGACTCCGCTTCATTCGATCGCTTCCACCAGAGTCATCAGCTCTACGCCCCATCTTCTCCTTCATCGCAGCACGTTCTTCCTTCTCAGTGAGTGCGATGCAAAAGCGCTTCGAAGCTGGGTCGTTCGCTTCCGGTACATTCGTTTCATCATCATCATCGTCATTCATTGCATCAGCATCTTTCTCTTTCGAAACCTTGTCGTGATCGGAAGAGATCCCTGCGATGTTGCGCTTGGCCTTTGGTGAACCTGTGAGTCCGGATGTAGTTTCTTGGCCGGTAGCCATACTCTGAGCCTCATTTCGATCAACAATGAAATTTTTCATGTTGTCCTCGACGCGCCAGTACTCCTTCAGGTTTCGCATGTAGGGGACATAGCGCCCAGGCTTCTTGTCCTTGAAGAAACTAAGCTCTTCTGTCTTCGCAAGATTCTTCATCTCGTCCCACGTCAGGCAACCACTCGGGAAGACTTGTTTCATGAGCCCAAAGTTCGTGGCGGAAATACGTCTGAAGAGTGGCCCAAGCTCTTTCTGGCGGTCGGCGCAGGTTGCGTACGATCCGGGTATCTCTTCATCGGCTTTGACGTCTTGAGCATTTAGTGCTTCGTTGCACGTCCAGACCAAGATCTCGCAGCTGGAGGGCGCCGGGTCGGCGACCAATTCTCTGATCACGTCGATAGTCCATTCGATATTGACCCTCTTTCGGTTGCTGCTGTCAGAACCCTGGAACCTGGGATGTTTGATGACATAATCTAGCACAATCTCATTGTCTGATGGTTTCCGCCATGAGTAGTCGAACATGCCCGCAAAAAAAGACCAGGCTCTGTCTGTCTTGTTCATCATCTTCCTTTGCGCCTCAATCAGCAATCTAGTCAATTCCTCTCTGCCCGATTGTGGCCCTGATGTTGCCGATTCTCTCCTGAGGGAGCCAGCTGATATTGTAACGCTGGTATTGGCCGTCTGAGAAGGGGCGGCGAGATTGGTTGGCTGCACAATAACATTGGATGCGGCTTGAGATGAAGCAAATGGCGTGAAGGGAGCAGCTGGCTGCGCATTGTCTTCATCAGCGGCTTGAGATGGAGCAACCTGCTTGTTTGTCTGCGGAGTGTTGCCCGTGTTCTGTATGGCGATGTTCCCTTGCGCCTCCCGCCGTCTAGCATGTTGTCCATCGTGTGCATGTCTTGCAAGCTTGTTGAAGTCCGCATTGGTCAACATTTGATACCTCATTGCGTAGTCGATCTTTTGAGCCAGCTCAGCTGCGGAACCCGCATTGTCGATATAGCCAAGAACCTCGTTCCGAAAGTGATCCCTGGGTCCTGGACCGTCCGTCTTTGAGAGAGCCTGTTGAAGAGCGCGGTGTAATTCAAAGACCTGTTCAAGTAGTACTTGGGCCTTTCCGTTAGCCCAATGGTTATGTGAGTTTGCCTGCGCCCTCAACTTCGCCCGTGACTGGATAGTGCTTTCAGCGCCAGTCGGACTGGAGAACGATGAAGTCGCCGAAGGCTGCCCAGCCGACGATGGAAATGTTAGAGGAGCCACAGGAGGTGTGAACGTGGATCGCTCGGTTCGATTAACAGACGATATGGTTGTGATAGTGGGAGCTTCAGAGATATGGCGGCCGGACCCGACTGTAGACTGCTCTGGGAGAGGTGTATCGGTCATATCCTGATCCTTAGTGACCACGGCAGTAGTAACAGGCGGAGCTAAGTTGGATCCGATAGCAATACTGAGCATGGGGCGCGTTGTTGGAAGCACGTCAGGCATTTTCTGATCGTTCGTCTCGTCGACAGTGATGCTAGACGAAGCTCCAGTTGATTTGGTAGTAGACTCGAATGCAACCTTCGTAAGTGGAGGCGCATCGGGCATGTTTTGGTTCTCATTTTGCCCAAGACTTGAAGCGGGTGCAACGACAGTCGGTTGATTAGTTTGCTGCACGCCATCCATGTCATCATGTCCAGTGTTGGTACCATAATTAGAGGCAGACGAGTTCTCTACCCCGTCCATAGTTTGAGAGAGCCCCACGCGTGAGTCTGTTGTGCCGAATTGCTGGCAACGAGTAGGCTCTGGGATACAATCTTCCACTGCATCACTCGGCGGGAAGGCTACATGGATGGTGGGCGGGCCATTAGCGTTGACATTGCGGGTTGTGGCGCCTACCAGCTGTGTCACTTGGGTGGTGATGGACCGAGGCTGGATGCTGAGGCTCACAGCGTGTGTATTTGGCACGATGTGTGTTGTAAACACCGGTGTCGTATGCTGCAATACATTCGTGCTTGACGCCACCGGTACCGATGTTTGTGAATTAGGTGCAGCGTCAGACCTGGATTCCAAGGTATCAGATGTCTGTTTTGGGGTAGCCAGCTTAGGTTCAGCGATCTGAGTGACGGATGCTGAAGCAGCAATGGTATGTGGGGAGGCTACAGGGCTCGCACTACGCGCGATGTAGGTACCGATACTCATGTTACCCTGTCGAATGAGCGCGCCCGAGCGGCTCGTGTCAGGGACAGTAGGCATACGAAGGTTGTTAATGATCTCAGCTATGTCTTGCGCACTGCGACTGATCTTATCGAGATAGCGAGTAAGGCATTGAAGTCGCACGGTGTAGAGACGCGCTCGATCAACAAAGAAGGGAGTGGGGCCGAAGTTCGCACACTCGCGCTCCAGAATGAGACCAAGTATGAAACGGGCGATTGGTCGCTCTAGTTGCTTTCCGAAGCTGGTATCTTTGAAGAGATGGCCAAGGGTTTTCATTGCGACACGAATCATCTTCTTGAACGCACCCCCAACGCGAATTGCATGACCAAGTTTCCTTATTCTGTCAACGATAGGACACACCGCGACATGTCGCAATGGCAGATACGTTGATGGAGTACCGTGCTGACGCTGAAGAAGCTGGAGCAGATCGGGGGAGGACAGAGCTTGTTGGAATATCGCGGCAGGAGTCGAGCGAAGATTGCTCTGGACGTTGCCTAAGAATATGGATATAGTTGTATAGGAGAGAGGCTGACCAGGTCGAACTAGGTATAGCCTGCATCGCGATGCCCCAGTTTCCGCTCTCGATGCTGTGTTCTGGGCTGCATGGGGTCGTGACGGGGATGAAGAACCACGGAGACTCTGGAAGAAGGCATCGGCGTGCTCTCTGATGATGTGGCGAGCGTGGTATACAGATACGTCGCCGAACTGCTGAGCATAGATCACGATCTGCTGCTGGAGCTCGGCTTCTAGGCGAGGGCGTAGGGAACGGGCGAAGAGCTGTCGCTGCGACTCATCCACTCCGACAGGTAGAAATTTGCTTGACATTATAGCGACAGATCATCGAAGTTGCTGGGTATGATCGTGGCTGACTATATCGGGGTTGGATTGCGGAGTACTGCTGGTGCATTGCGGAAGTGGGTTAGAGGTCGCTGAAAAGTCTCAAGCGCTATGAATTGTGGTGAACAATAGAGAATCGCAACGGACAAGCGAGAGTACAGCGTCACAAAAGCGCTCAATAGAGCTTGAGAAAGTGAAAGTGAAAGGGAAACGGTCATAACGCTAAGCCATATCGCGCAACTCGCAAACGACCTCGGGAATGACACTCAACGATTGCATCACCCCATCAACTTAGAAGCCCCTTGGAACAGTAAGGGATCTCATTGCAACAGAAGGTAGAGAGGACATCCAGCCATAGCCTGCCACACCACTGAAAACATGTCATACTTGTCGATCCATTTCTTTGATGTAGCGGATTGCGAGGGAGAATCCCGAAGTCTAGAATGCAGAACAGATAAACTACATGCAAAGATGAAATATGATAATGGGTGATGAAAATAGAAAATACATCGAAGACGGGTTTCCACTTAGATACCAGTGGAAGTGTTACCCGGAGAGGGTCTTCACAGCCAGCTCTTGCCGTAAGTATAGAGCCATGCACTCGGTTGGGCACTCATAATGCCATTTGAGCACCACTCCTGTCACTACCCATAAGGGTATTTTCCATTGTCATCCACGTGTTCTCTCGCCATATCATAATACGCACTGTGAGACACCGTGCCCGATTTGTTGTCAGTTTGCCGAGATGAATTCTGTCACTTCAGTGTCAATGGAACCAACAATTTGGCGATGAATAGTGAAGCTTGGAGATAGCTTCGTCGCGCGAAAAGATGTTCGAAAGAGCGTGGCTGGGAAGGACGCGTCGTTGTGTCTTTAGTCCGAGCATGACATCATGTCTGAATAATCAGCCTCGGGCGTTCTCGCGTCGCGTCCCTTGCCCTTCCTTCATCCCAATTTCCAGCGGCCTGCAACGCAAACAATCGACCACGTGTAGCTGCTTGGAAAAACATTCGTTTTGAACACCGCAGCTTGCGGGATTCTTTCCTAGCCGGGGCGTGCTATGTGCTTCACTCCCGCACTCTCAGCTCTCAAACCACAATCATCTTCATCGTACGCATAGCTCTGTAGAACCCCCAGCCTTCCAACACCAAATCTCAGTCAATGTTCCAGTGCTCATGAGGCGTACAACATTTCGTAAACCACGATTTGAGAAGGCTAAGCATAGCGATCGGGGCCAGCCACATAGCCTGGCCGGGGTTCCCTTCCATCTCCCCGCAGCACCTACAGCGATGTGTCAGCCAACGCGGCACGATACCTACACTACCCCGTACTTCGACAGACGGTACTGGTTTGTGTGCCTATTCTAGACTATCTAATGTCGGCGACCGCATATACAGCATGTAGTACGAAAATAGCGATACGTGATGACGCTAAGCTGGATTCGACATCGAACACTACGCTTACACATGCTTATGTTGCACCGGTGACTACTATGTCGCATAAGCCGTGCAGACGGTACAATCACTGAAGACTTGTATCTTGTAGTATAATGCGACGTTCCCAATATGCATTCTAAATGTTCTAGTTCTGTCATACGACAACCTCAACAACATGGCAAACGTCACCGGTACCAATGGCATCACTGGCGCCAACTTCGACATATACGGTGCGAACCGCGTACTCCCTCGAGCAATGACCGCGTTCACAGCTATTGCGTGGTACAATTCGATCGAATTACTCATCCTCGTCTTCGTCATATTCAGGAGGTACTCCGGCTTGTACTTCTGGAGTCTTATAGTCAATGCGATCAGCATTGTGCCGTATGCGACTGGTATGATCAGCTTATCAAATCGAATACGGCTTGGCTGACGAGGTACACAGGAGCATGGATGAAACAAAACAACGTTGCACATAATCCTTACGTTTACAACACCCTCCTTACGCTCGGGTGGGTTTTGATGGTTCCCGGGCAATCAGTCGTATTGTATTCTCGCCTGTACTTGATCTCCCCGAACCTCAAGCTCCTGCGTTTCATCTTTTGGATGATCGTTACTTCGGCAATATGCCTGTGTGTACCTACTGTCACGCTGAATCTACGGCAATACACCAAGCACCCGGAATCTTACACACGCGGCTACATGGTCATGGAAAAGATACAAATGACTCTTTTCACTGTTCAGGAGATCTTCATATCATGCGTCTATCTATTGGAGACCCGCAAGCTAATGCGTGTCATCTTCGACGGCAAAGCCAGGAAGTGGATGTGGCAGCTTGTTGTAATGAATGTGCTCCTACTGATACTAGATATCGCTTTGCTCACGACAGAGTTTCTGGATCTCTACATGATACAGACAACCTTCAAATCTCTTGTATACAGCTTCAAGCTCAAGATTGAGTTCGCAGTCCTTAGCCAGATTGTCCGCGTCATTCAAGATCGTGCGCAGTCTGGTAGCTCAGTCGCCGCACTTCCGTCAACTCTGGTGTGTCAATCGTGCGCAGGTAAACCGATATCAAGTCAGATCTCAGAGGTAGAGGATATGCAACGCAATGTGCCACTCGAGTGGCGGCTATCGAAAGATACTACAGCTTTGGTTTCGCCAGTCGCGCTCACTGTGGCGAGAAAAGACGACGTCGAAAGTGCCAGATGTAGCGTCGTTTCCGTAGACGCGATGTATCCTGGAAGATTGGGATGACTGTAGGACAGGTATATGATCAATTGAAACCAATGATGAGCGCAGACCGATGAGTCAATGGGTGATGTCACCAAGCATTTGCAACATCATCACTGGGCCCATAGATTCCTTCCCAGCGCCGCTCTCTAAAAGTCGTCTTCGCGCTGACTACCCAACTATCCACATGTCCACAGGTTCATTACTATTATAGCCGTAGCTGCGCACACGTGGTCTAGATACGCATTTTACCATAATCTTTCAACCTTTACTTGACGTACTGCCAACAACTTGACTTCCAGGAAACCCGTTCTGGCAGCAACCCAAAAGGTAGTTGAGCCAGTGGGCGAGATTCGCAACAAAACGATGCACCGAGCGTGAATGAGATCTCGGTCGATTCGCTGTTTTTCCGTGGAAGGGCTGAGTATGCTAGCAACGCTCCGTATCCATATCATTTTTTGAACGTCGATGGGAGCAGACACGTAGTGTTCGATGCGCAGGTTGATCACACAAAGTTGTTAGTGGTGATTGTAAAGAATTTCTGAAGGTCGGTGGGTCTCGTGAGACCACATCGTTGTAGTTCGAGCAGCGTGTAGTATCCACTGACCGAAGCAAGCACCCGGTCCCCTACCATCTCATCAGATAATCTTGACCTGTCGAATTGGCAATGCCTCAACGAATTCACAGATCCTCCAAGTCTTTTGTAGAGTGGTCATCTCCGACTGACAAACGGCTTCAATCTCGATAGTTCCTATTCTCTCGAAGACGCCGTCGGTGACCTCTTTAAGAATGAGCCCCACATAAGAGGCTGATCCTGACAGCAAGTTGATAGGTAAAACGTCGAAAGTATCTCCAACCATGACCGGTCGATCACCCGTAGACCAGTCGAAGTCCATATGTGTACTCCAATCGCATAACCTAACGTCCGAAATTGAGCGAGTAACTATTTCCATGCACGGTTCTAATACAGCTGTCCTCCGCTCGACGTGTCGTGTTAACCGAATGGTGTATAGATGACCTTCCAATGAGATGCTAGCATTTGCGACTTCGCCAACATGCGCCGGTCCAATACAAGTGTAGGATAGGTCCACCAATCTCAAGCATGGTTCAAGTGTTCCGCTCAGCCAAAGAACTTGCACTTGTGAAGATGGCCATGCCCATGTTGGAGAGCGCATTCGGAGACACCACGCCCGCGGCGTGCAAGATGCACCTGGCACCCAGGCAAGATCCGAAAGCAGACTACTCTTCCACATACCGGCAATGTATACATCGTCTGGGCGTAATCGCATTTCACGTTCGACTATGGCAGCGACTGCGGGTAACCGATCGCTTGCATAGGTTAAGTCCAGGCCAGAATACATGTTTACCAACTTGTGCCAGCGGTCGACCGGATCTCCGATGACCTCAAAGAGGTTAAAACTTGGATTATTGCTCCATTGGTAGATATCCTTGTAGGTCATCCCACTCTCCGAGATAAAGCGAGTGGGACATTGCCAATACATCTATTGGTTGAATTAGCCACTTGATTCATGTGTTTGAAACGAGCAAAAAGACATCGTATCGTGCAAACCATTTTCAATCTCAAAAAACTTCGGGGGTGCTTTAACATCTGGAGATTGCAAATCTTCAGAAGAAGCGAGCGTTGGGCGCTTACTTGATCCTTGCCAAAGTGGACCATCCGTGACGACAAAAGTCGCTCTTGGTATACCCAAGCCCTATTCAGCAGTGGAAAATCATCCAGCTTCATGCCATGAGATGGATGTGGGAAAGGGGCGCAGCTTTCCTGTATGTAGAACTCATGGTCCTTTAACTTTCTGGCCTTGTATCTTTCTCGCTCCAACACAAACAAACCGCAGTCGCTGTTTTCGGCCCAAGTACCTGCGATGGTCAAATTGGCCCGTTCATAGATGATTGCCATCATTGCTGCTGCTTCTTTCCAGTCATCCTCGTCGTCTTGCATGATGCCTGAGTGGGCACCTTAGTTACATATACATCATCTAATAAAAGCGACTTACAGCAGGCATCGATCCAGATAAAGCGAAAACCAAGTCTTGAACATAGGCGAACAGCGTCTGCAAAGGTCTTCGGCAATCGACTGATAAGTATACCGTCCATGAAATCACCGGAAGTCGTCTTGTCTAGCTTGAGTGCTGGGCCTGACGGGCCCCAACAATGACTTAGACAAGCATACATGGTTAGTGTTTTCAAGTGCTCACGAAGATAGACATGCTCTCCATCTATCTCAAGCACTCGTTTTGGTAATTGGTTGACATTTCGTCCAGCACAAATCTCATGATGCTCAACACAGGTTTCGATCCAATTGTGCAATGTTTGAAGAGCTTGATCTGAAGATGTGTCTCCTGAAAGAAGTGTCCTGGTGGGAATGTGTAGTTTGGAAGTTAAAAGATCGGGCAGGGTGTGTAGCTCCTGACCTGCAGGAAGTCAGACTCTGTTCTTGTAGTTGGTTCATTCGGTGCGCTCTCTCCTATGAAGGCAAGGGTATCTCGAATCAGTTCGTACATAGACGGTGAGATGTCGTCGCCAAACATTCTTGGCTGTCCCAGCTATTGAAAGCAAACAAAGCAACACGTGTATAACTTACCTTCTAATCGAAATAGCTCTAGGTTTATTCTTTCACGTTCGTCGTTATCAAGCAATATGCTCCAGCTACCCGCTAGCATACAGACTTCTGTTATGCTATCCATGCATAGTCGCTCGCTACTATAGGTGGTAATAGCATCGAGCACAATACTACACTTTTGGCAAGCAGCCGCCACTCCACGTCGAAGTTTCGTGATACTTGTATCAACCATGTAACGTTCGCGTTCATCCGAAAATAAGTAGCAGGGCTCATGGCCTTCGTCTTCAGTTTCGCTATCGGTAGCTGAGTCCAGATCAGCTGTAGTGTCGGATGTGCCAATAGGTCCACTGTTCAAGGATTCGATATACGTGGCGATAGAACGCCACAGGCCAAAAGTCATATCCAAAGTTGAAAGATGTAGATGAAGCTAGGACAGATTTCACCCCGTTACGCTCAGTCAGGCTGCAGCTAGGAGGCTGCCAAGACGTGGGGCAGTGCGCAGCCTTGCTGTCACAGTTGGTGTATCTTTGTGGTGCATAGCGGTAGGGATCTCTAAAGCCAATGGCTGAGCTAGATGCGAGTGCTTATGTTTGGTGTATGTGAACGGTTGGTGTATGTGAACGGTTGGTGGCTGGCGAGTTAGATGGAAAGAAGTTTGCTGCGAGCCGCGAACCCTAAGAAGTGTCGTTAGTCGTTGTTCTCTCGTCACAGGATGGACAGTCGCAGTCGCTAACTATCACCGGAATGGAATCACGCATAAACAAACCACATCGTGCACAGTGTACTAGTTCATCGATTCGTCTATCGTAGACGCGTTATTTCATATATCATCCCCATCATGTCCACCAGCATGCCATCCAACTGGTCATGCCTGCCTCATCTCTCCTCCCAAATCATAATAAAGATAATAAAACTCCACCGACGCCTTCGTTGGGCTCGCTTGGAGCATATATAGGCTTCTGCCCGATGTAGTAAATAAAGAAATACAAAGGATATACGAGAATCAAAGTCGTTCCATCGTCATGCCCAACGAGCCCACTACAGTATCTCCTTCAACTTCTCCTTCTGCGCGCTTGTCAAGCTTGTAGGGAACTTGATCTTCACGCCAACGATGAAGTCGCCGCGATCTGAGGGTTTCTTCGATTTGGGCATGCCCAAGTTAGGGTATCGTTCTGTCCAGGTCGGACCTGTGGGGCCGCCGCTGCCAACGCTGAGTTGTTTACCGTCGATGGTTTGTACGGTTCGGCGCCAGCCGGTAAGCGCTTCTTTGAGATCGATTTCGATGGTGTGCTTGACGTCGTCGCCCTCGCGGGTGAACATTGCGTGGGGTTTCTATGGTGTCATTAGTATCGGCTTGCATATAATGGATGAGAAATCGTGACTTACCTCAGAGACAATGAAGTGCAAATCCTGTGTGCCACCTTCCACCTGGTCGCCCACGTCTGAGAACTTGATCTTGCTGCCAGCCTTCAATCCCTTCTTGATTGGTACCTCCAGAATCCGGTCTTGGGTACTTTGCTTGCCGGTACTCTGGTCGTATGTCTTGCGCTTGATCTTGAGCTTCTTCGTGGTGCCATTGTACAGCTCTTCCAGGCTCACGGCGAGCGGCTTCTCCACAACTGTGACTTCGGGTTCTGGTGCTCGTCGTCCGCCTCGGAATTGACTGCCCTTTCTGCCTCCACCGCCGCCGCCCATACCGCCCATTCCGCCAGGCATACCGCCCATGCCGAAGCCACCGAAGTCAAAGTCATCACCGCCGCCGCTGCTGCGCATGAATTCGCCAAAGATGTCGTCGGCGTTCGAGAAGTTGAAGCCGTTTCCACCGCCGCCTGTCGAGAAGTGGAACGATCGTGCGCCACCGGGCATACCACCGCCTGATGCGAATGGGAAACCTCCACCGCCTCCTGCGCCTGCGAACGGGTTTCCACCAGCACCACCGGCATCTTCAGGGTGTGGTACGCCGCCGCGTAGTATGAACTCGAGACCGTATTGATCGTATGTCTTGCGCTTCTCGGGGTCGGAGAGGATCTCGTAGGCTTGTGAGCATTCTAGATGTGCTATTAGTATTCTCATTCCTATCCAAGTGAGCTGGGTATGCCTTGTACGTACCTTTGAACTTCTCAGCAGCTTGCGGATTGTCCTTGTTCTTGTCGGGGTGCCATTTCAACGCCGCCTTCCGGTATGCCTTCTTGATCTCGTCTTGCGTCGCGGTCTCCGACACGCCTAGAAATAAGTCAGTAACAGTTCATGTGCCTACCCGAGCACCCCGGGCCCTGGCATACCCGCTGTCTAGCAGAGCAAGGCGGTGGAGGGGTATATCCGAGGCAAACGTACCTAATGAATCGTAGAGCTTGGACTCCTTGACCATCTTGAAGTCCTGTGATTACAAGAGAAAGATATCTCGCGTATGCGCAATTAGTGTTTGTAAATGTCCTGCGTGGTAGCTTATGAGGTTGGGTCGCATTTATCACTCGAGCTTTGGATGTCTCTCCACTTGTCAAACGGCGCTAGCAGTGACGTCGAGCCTTGATGCGGAGCGAACACAGAGAAGGTTCGAGAAGCTTCAACTACAATGCCATATCCATACGATCACAATCATTGATGTCGTGTATCAAGCGCTCAGATTCAAAATTAGAAACCTGAATTTGTATCACAGGGGTTGCATCGAATCGACATCCACGGGTACCTAGCAATGTGCTGTCGCGCTCCACCCGACGCGCGCTTGTTGTTCCTCGTGGTCTTCCTTGACGCGCCCCGCTTTTACAATCCTAAAAGCTTCACTTTTACAGAGCAGCACATCGCAGCTATCGTGGACTCTTCATGCATGGTGTTGGATGAATTCATCCTCAATTTCCGAAGTGATATGCATGTGCAGCCGTGTAGAGGGAGAGCAAGGTGGCTGGGACATGTACCTGCCCGATCCACAGAGTTGCTTGATAGCGCTGTGCTACTAGTAGTAGCGTTTAACATGTTCATCATATCTGGGTAGCAATGCATGACATTAGCATCTTTTTATGATCACGAACGTGACGGCCAGATTGCATGTCTGTGAGCTTCTGATACTCAATACAGGACTGGGGCCGTGACACATCAGCAGCGATTTGCATCAACATGACAGACCCATCGACAGCTCATGGACACGCTGCAAGAGTTACCCAATCTCAATAGCTCGTGCAGAGTCAGTACAGCCTACACGCACCACTGCACATCGTAATGACCATGAGGAAGAGTCAGAAAGATGAAGTTTAAACAGTGAATTGAACATGTCTAGCAACAAGCTATATCGCACGTCAACACGCAATCGACCACCTTTGTCGCAGAAAGCTTCGACACGCCAAAAAACGCCGGCATGCCCATGATCCCAAACGCCATTTTCCGGTATGCTACATTTGAAGAAGCTGGTATCCAAGGATAGAGTAGTAGTAACTATGACATGTACACGATTTTGTGGTGTACAGCGCTTTTACAGGCAAGCAGCGATGCGCGCTGTTGCTTTGTCCGGACGTCCATCGTTCAGATATTGATCGTTTAGTCGGAGTCGCTGTCAGAATCATCCTTGCTCTTCTTCTTGTCCTTCTTCTCGGCCTTGGCGGCCTTCTTCGCAGCCTTCTCCTCCTTCTTCTTGCGCTTGCGCTCGGCCTTGTCTTCATCACCCTCGTCGTCGCCGTCACCACGGCTCTTGCGCTTCTTGCTCTTCTTGTCGGCGACCTCGGCTTCCGCCTCAGCCTCTTCGGCAGGTGCGAGACCAGTTGCGGGGACAGCAGGAGCGGCGAGGACCTCGGACGTGGAGGTGGTCTCAGCGACAGGTGCGGAAGCGCCATCGACGTCGTTCCTGTTGAAGTCCTTGTACTCGGTGTTCCACTTAGCGGGAGTCTTGTCATTGGGGCGGCCGAATTTCTGGACCCGTTAGTATAGCACTCGCAAACCTAGCGTTGAATAACTTACGTCGAGAGTGCCAGCCTCCTTCATCTTCTTCTTCTCGGTGGCGACTGGGCCCATACCCCACCTCCTGGGGTAAAGGTCGCGCTCCATGATGACACGCTTGATCTTCGCAACAACACCGTGGTCGCATGATGACATCTCAACGGCAGACATCTGCGCGTATGCGAGCGCAATAGCCTCACCCTTGGTGGTCATGAGGACAACCTCCTCGTGGATCTCAATACCCTTCTCGAAACGCAGCAGACCGGGAAGCATGAGCTTAGCACCGTAGCAGATAGCGTTGACAGAGCTGTCCTTGACGACGATACGCTTGTAGCTCATCAGAAGACTCTCGAGAGGTGCGATGACCTTGCGAAGGTAGGCCTCGTCGCGGTTGTTGTCGTGCAGCCACTGGGCATCGAGAACGTCGTGCAGAGTGACCAGGTCCTTGGTCTCGTCCATAGCTCCAGACCTGACACGGCGCAGCTCCTGCATGTGAGCGCCGACACCGAGCAAAAGACCAAGATGCACGCAAAGAGTACGGATGTAGGTTCCGGCCTCGCAGCTGACCCAGAAGACACCGAGCTGCCTCTCGTTGTCAAACTCGTAAAGCTTGCTCTCGTGGATAGTTCGGATACGGAGTTGACGCTTGACGGCGGAAATGAGCGGGGGACGCTGGAACAGAGCTCCGGTGAGCGTCTCAAGGGCACGCGCAAACTGCGCCTCGCCTCCAGGAAGCTTGTCGTGCATGCGAATGACGCAAACGTACTCCTTTCCGGCTCCCTGCTGGGACTTGACGAGACGGGTGGCACGATCAATGCAGACGATGAGGCAACCAGTGACCTTGGGGTCGAGAGTACCGCTGTGACCAGTCTTCTCGACTCTTTAGAGTGTGTTAGCTGACTGCGCCTGAAACAAGTCACGAAGTTTCTTCCTACCTCAGCATGCGCTTGATCCATGACACGACTTCGTGAGAGGATGGGTTGGAAGGCTTGTCGAGGTTGATGACACCAGAGCTAATGTACGACTTGAGGTCTCGCGATAGCGGCGCGCAACCGTTGGGGATGGGAGTGTAGTGCGATGTGCGAACGAGCACTGTACGCGCATTAGCAGAGCATTCTGGAGCTATGGGGAAGCTGCAGCATACGGTCGCTGTAGTTCTTGAGCAGCAAAGGCCAGTCGCTGGTGTCGATGGCAGGCGCAGCCGCCGCTGGCTTGATCACATACGCGTCGGGGTCGGTCTGCACGAGAGCCATGGCGATTATTGTGTTGGTTGGTGGTGTTGCAATTGGCGATGCGATGTTCTCGAACTTTTTCGCAGTATTTTCGCGGCGTCCAAGCTATTGGACGCATGGACCACCCCACACGGAACTTCTGTCGGGCCGTCATCTAGTCCGAACACGCCTCAGATGTGCGAGATGGCTGGACTACAATATTCGGTGGCGCGGCAGTGGTTATACAGCATAACACAAAAATATACCAGACGTCGAATCATTAGAAGTTCATTGAATTATCTATACAGAAGGCGGTTGACACCAGTGGAATGTGACTATCCTACACAGCACCTATTGACCAGTGACTAGCTATCCTAGTTCACTACTTGACCATACTCGTTACTACGTAAAGTGCTAATGTCCCCACTGCGGACCCCCTGATTGTGGTTCAGTATTTCGTTGTCTCCAGTACTACGAAGAGTGGTTCCATCCATCTTGCCATCGACACCCCGTTGAACACCAGGTTCAATCAGACTGCCGTGGCTGCTGGGTACATCCGGCCAGAACGCCTCCTCAGCATCGAGCAGCGCTCTCCAAATAGGGTCAACCCTAGCCTTGACCTCTGCCCATTTTCCATCATCTCGATCAACGGCGTCGCTTACTCCTTCATTGACGATGCGCTCAAGCTGCTCGACGAACATGAGGAAGTCGCGGTTTGACCAGTTGGGAATGAATTCTCTTCGCATCGCACCGCCATCCTGGTCGTTGTCGTAGTTTCGAGGAGAAGACTGAGCGTCTTGTCTGCGAGCCCAGGACCAGGCCTCGTAGTATACCTTCTCGGTTGACCATAGCAAGATGGCACCTTCGAGCCAAGGTATGAATGTGTTTGGTTGTTGAGAAGCGACACTGGCGAACAGCGCTTCGTAGCGACGAAGGCCTTCTGACTTTACGTTCTCTTGAAGTGGTGTAGCTGGGAGGTCGATTTTGTAGATTTCAGCAACTTCTTGGAAGAATCGTAACTCCCTCTCTCCGTTCTTGATGGCAGACTCTAACCACGCGATAAATCGTGTTGGAATGTCTGGCTCGTCACCAGGCGCAGTTGTTGATTTGTGTGTACTGCGAACAAGGTTCAGGGTGTGCTTAATAGTAGAGAGGTAACCTTGAAGGTATTGTCTATCGTTTGCAAGCCACTGAGCGATCAAAGGTTTTGGTAGGGTACCCTTTGCGGCACGCTCGAGGAAGGGGTGGTTGGTAACGCGGTGCAGTTGGTCATTGTTGATGGCGAGGAGATGAGCTGTGACTGCCCAAGGGAGGTTGGTGGGGTCGAGTTCGCTCTTGCTGGCCCAGGTTCCTGGGTGGTGGTGAGGCATGGTAAATATCGTTCGCGTAAGATTTGTGATATCTGTATTGAACGGTGTATGTATTCGATGAGGTACATAATGGGAGTCGGGCGGGGTAGCAAGCTACTTATATGCTAGAGTTACAATGCTTGCCAAGCGAGACGATGGCTCCGAGGAGACGTAATTACGTGTTGAGGCTGAGGGTACAAGGAGCATGAAGCTATCGCCAAGGAGAGTGGATGGTGCCCAGGTGTCGAAGTGAACGCATGACGTCGGTTCGGAAACATCGGAGTTTGGAACGCTCTGAGTGGTGCAGAAGCATGGCAAACCGGAATCTAGAATCACAACACACAACTTGGCAGACCATTTCTCAGCGGAGCTCTTGGCGATATGAGGCTTCTATACGCTAAAATACTTGTATATGCGGAAGTTTGTGGCTGAACCATGGCGGAGCCGCTTGGCACATGACGATGCCGCCACCCGTGAGCTGCTGCTGGTGTGATCTTTGGAGTAACCCGGACAAAACTCGGATAGCGATATTAGTATACATGATCACCCGAGCAGGCTGCTCAGTCAATGAACGTTGTGTGTGCTTATTGATGCCAGCATAATGCCGGTCGTTTGACGTTTACATGACCTTTGTCTGGCGTGGACGCTCGTCACGCCTTCACATATGGCATGTCGTGATGCGTAAGACGAGCGGGGTATGAGAATCTAGGCAAACTTTAACTTGTTTCTTGAGGGGTACTTGGAACACCAAGACATTTTGGTATTGGTGTTGGTGTTTGAGATGAAGAAGTACAGATCCAATGTGTGAAGGCAGTCCCGACAACTCGGCCACTGCCTTAGCGCGGCGCGTCATACCGCCGCCTGCACCTCGAACTTTCTCGCGACCAGCTGTCGACTCAACAATAACCGAAGTTACTGTGCTTGACGTACAAGACGACAATGGATTTCTCCGCAGACGATGAACAAGCTCCCAAGCAATACCTCCCAAGTGAGTTTGGGAAGAAGGATGGCTCCGTAAACGTAGAGGCGCAAATCGAGCGCGCCCGAAGGCCAGTGGTCGATGAAAGCAAACAGGCGAAGAAAGAGGCCGGTTCCGACGACGACGACAAGGATTCCGACGACGATGACAGTGATATGAGCGATGAGGAGGACGAGTATCCAGTTTCTCACGAATTGATCATCAAGACCCACGACCGCGCAGTCACGACGATTGCGCTCGATGCATCTGGAACACGGCTGGTGACCGGAGGAAACGACTGCACACTCAAGTTGCACGACCTTAGTGCGCTCACGCCGAGTACCATCCGCGCATTCAAGACGGTAGATCCCTTTACAACAAAACCCTCTCAAACCGCAGAATCGCATTCGATACATCAAGTCTTGTTCGGCCCACACTCTGGAGGCCAATTCCTATGCATTACCGCGACTTCACAAGCAAGACTTTTCAGCAGGGATGGAGAACTTATATCGGAGTTCGTCAAGGGCGACATGTACTTGAGAGACAAGCACAACACAAAAGGACACACAGCCGAAATCACGAGCGGCGCATGGCATCCAACGAATCGCGATCGTTTTGCTACAGCAGGCACAGACAGTACAGTGCGGATATGGGACGTGAACAAGAGGATGAAGCAGGAAGAAGTTATCGTACACAAATCGAGAGCTTCCGGTAGCGCAGGCATGACAAGGATGACGGCCATCGCATGGGGTGCGGCGGCCGAGGGAGGAAGCAGTATGCTTGTGTCAGCAGCACTAGACGGAAGTCTGGTCATGTGGGGTGGTGAAGGTCCATACCACCGACCAACAGCAGAAATTAAAGAAGCCCATGCGAGGGATACTTGGACAAGTGGGCTGGATATCAGCGCAGATGGCAGGCTGGTCATTACAAGAGGAGGAGACGACACGATCAAGTTGTGGGATACCAGGAAGTTCAAGACGCCTCTTAACACCACATCACATCCGTCAACGTCTTCGCAATATCCGACATCGAACATTAAGTTTGCGCCCAACTCGCAGAGCATAGTCACAGGATCAGAGACTGGCCACCTCCACATCCTCAACCCTGCAACTCTTCGCCCAGAGCTTGTAACACCAGTAACTCCAGGGTCTCCTTTAATCACAGTCAACTGGCATCCCAGGCTCAACCAGATTCTCACAGGTTCAGCCAACGGTCAGACAACAATCCTCTTCAATCCCAAGCTCTCCAGCGCTGGCGCTCTCACAATCCTCAGCAAGGCACCTAAGAAGCGGCATCTCGATGATGACCCATCTCTCACTGTAGATATGGATCCTCTCGGAATGGCTGGTGAAGCACATGATCCTTCTGGCAACGCAGCCTCATTCTCAGCGCGCCATCCCACGATCGGTCTCACAGCATCCGGCAAAAGCAGGGATCCACGGAGACCGCATATCCCAGCTACGACGCCTTTTGCAAAGTCAACGCCTGATCAGAAGTATGTCATGGAGCAGATCGAAGGCAGTGATATGAGAGACGAGGACCCTCGGGAGGCGCTACTCAAGTATGCGCTGAAAGAGGGAGAGAAGGCTGTCTTTACAGGTGCGTGGGAAAAGACTCAACCAGTTGGAATCTACAAGGATTACGACAGTGAAGAGGATGAGAGGGAGAAGAAGAAGGCAAGGCGATAGTCAAAGCGGGATGAAGCCCACTGGATGAGAGACTTTGAGGAACATGGGCTGTCCACAAGAGGCGTTTGGATCACAAAAGCATATACCCTGTAACAAAAGAGACTATAGACTAGTTAGGTTTCTCTAATAAGCAGATGATGACCAATGGCAGACGAAAGGGAGATGATGTGCAGTTGAACGGCAGAGACGCACGTGTGAGCGTCCCTTAGCGTCCAAGCCCAACTTGGCCCAAACCGCGTCGCGCCCCAACACCCCCACCCGCCTCGCATCACAACAACGTCCACCCCACAGCCGTCAATTCGACCACCGAAAAGTACGCAACCCGCCAATTCTGCACCACAAAAAACAACAGCGACGATGTTTTCCTCCACATTCCGCGCCGCAGCTCGCGCTCCCACCTCGGCCTTCACACGCAGCTTCTCCTCCACCCGACCCTCGCAAGTCGCGCGCATGACCGTTATTGGCCGTCTAGGTGTTGCACCCGAAGAAGTCACCATATCCGGCGACAGGACACTAGTTCGATACATAGTAGGAACAAACTACGGCAAGGGCGATGACAAGAAGACCAGCTGGTTCCGGATTGCGAGTTTCGTACAGGGAGCACAGAAGGATTTCCTCATGAACTTGCCAAAGGGATCGCTACTCTATGTTGACGCTGATGCGCGCATGGAGACGTACCTTGACGCTGAGGGCAACAAGAAGAGCAACTTGAGCTTGGTTGCACGTATGTTTTTGGAGTGTTGGACTAGTGAGGAGATGGATTGCTAATTTCGATGCAGGCAACTTCGACGTCTTATCTCGCCCTCGTGCTACTGAGGAGACGGAGACTACGGACGAGGGTCTTGTTCAGGAAGGTTAGGTTAAACGAACGGTTTTGCCTGCTGTTTCGACTAGGATATTACCCAACGGCGATTCTCTTATAATACCCGCAAGTGGAAGATGTTGTGTGCTGGATCGATGGTTCCTGATGAAGCATATCTTGCTCGGCGCTGTAGGATCTCTTTACGGGACTTCTCTTTACGATATTTGAATGTACCACTATGGACTGAAAGTTCACTTTGTATGATCTCTACTCTAGGAGTGGCGTGGCTTGGGATTTACGGAATGATACCTTTTTTCTTCAGAAAACTTGGACATACACTAACATCCAGGAAATCCTGGTAAGGAAATCTCTCTTGCCCAGACGCCGATCAAGGCATCGATTGAGCAACCTAAGTATTGCGTTCTTACAAACTGCCCACTTGTGCACGGACGTGATGCGGCGAACGAAGACCTCCGAGTTGGCCCATCCCAACTTTTTGTAGTACGGCATCTAAAGTCCAACACAGCAATTTTACACAATGCACAGAGTCGTGCCACTACCAGCGCGTCAGCTCTGGGGCCATGCGCCCCGGGTACGGTCGTTGAATCGCTTCACCCGCCATCCACGCACATTTGCGACTGTGTCTGGCGCTGATCGGTACGCCACTACACTTTCAAACCCACCATTGGACCAATTCTGACTTTTATATAGACCATACGATGTGATAGTAATCGGCGGCGGTCATGCAGGATGTGAAGCCTCCGCAGCAGCAGCCCGCTCCGGCGCACGAACAGCCCTCATAACGCCTTCCGTCCACAACCTCGGTGTCTGCTCCTGCAACCCTTCTTTCGGCGGCATCGGAAAGGGAACTATGCTTCGCGAAATCGATGCGCTGGATGGTGTCGTTGGACGTATTGTGGATAAAGCCGGTGTACAATTCAGGGTACTGAACAGGAAGAAAGGCCCTGCAGTGTGGGGTCCCAGAGCGCAGATCGACAGGGCGCTGTATAAGAGATATATGAAGGACGAGATGCTAGGATACAAGGGGCTGGGTGTCGTAGAGGGCAGTGTGGCGGATATCATTGTGGACAGGACGCAAGAGGAGGGATCGAAGGGCCAGTATGGGAAAATTACTGGTGTGAGGTTGGAGAGTGGGGAGATAATACCGACAGGCAATGTTGTTATAACGACTGGCACGTTTCTTGGTGGCGAAATACACATCGGGCTGGAGTCATATCCATCGGGTCGCATGGGCGAAGCTGCGACTTTTGGACTGAGTAAGAGCTTGAAGGATGCCGGTTTCACAATGGGAAGACTGAAGACGGGAACACCACCACGACTGGACGGAAAGACGATCGACTACAAAGTCCTAGAAGCGCAAGAGGGTGATGATCCACCCATGCCATTCAGCTATATGAACGAGCGAGTACAGGTCGAGAACCAACTACTGAATCACGAGACACGAACGAACGAAGCAACCCACGACGTAATACGAAACAACCTTGACAAATCTATACACATTCGCGAAACCGTCAAAGGACCGCGATACTGCCCTTCCCTAGAATCGAAGGTAATTCGTTTCGCAGATAAGACATCGCATATCGTTTGGCTGGAGCCGGAAGGTTTCGACAGCGATATGATTTATCCCAATGGAATTTCCTGCACAGTCCCTGCAGATGTACAGAACACCATGCTTAAAACTATCAAGGGCCTTGAGAACGTCACCATGTTACAGCCTGGTTATGGCGTAGAATACGACTACGTTGATCCACGACATCTTCGCTCTACACTTGAAACCAAGAATATCTCGGGGCTCTTCCTAGCAGGCCAGATCAACGGTACAACCGGCTACGAAGAAGCAGCAGGACAGGGTTTGATTGCTGGTATCAACGCCGGCCTGAAGAGCTTAGGAAAAGAAGCCATGGTCTTGACGAGAGCGGATGGATACATCGGCATTATGATTGACGACCTCATCACCAAGGGTGTCTCAGAACCGTACCGTATGTTCACCTCTCGCTCCGAATACCGTATGTCTGCTCGCGCCGATAACGCCGACACACGTCTCACGGCCATGGGTCGAGCCGCCGGCGTAGTTGGCGACTCGCGCTGGAAAGCATTCGAAGACGAAGCCGAGCAAATGGCTACTTTAACACAGGTCCTTCAATCCAAGACTATGGGATGGACAGACTGGAATAACGAAGGTTTCCCTGTTAGAAACGACAGTACCAAACGTTCCGCATACGACCTCCTCCGTCTACCAAACACGACCCCATCAAGTCTTGCAAGTCTCCTCCCTGAGATTAGAGAATTCACACAGCGCATACAAGACCGCGTACACATCGAAGCCACATATGCGCCCTATGTCGCCGCTCAAACTGCCTCTCAAGCCAGGTGGCTCAAGGACGAGAACCTGAAATTACCACTTGACCTCGACTACGAATCCATCTTTGGGTTGAGCTTTGAAGAGAAGAGAGCGTTGGAGGTAGCCAGACCAGAAAGCGTAGGCATGGCCAGGCGGGTTGAAGGTGTCACGCCGACGGGTGCGCTGAGGTTGCTGCAGTATGTCAGAGGTGTGGGAAGGGAAGAAAGACAGGCCAGGATGAAGGAGGAGATCGAGGCGAGGAAGGAGAAGTATAGAGGTGCGACTCCGGGATTGAGTGTGGAGGGACTGTAGGCTGGGTGACTGTGTAGGGAGACGTTTTTGTATTATATGGCATTGGGCGGCGTTTTTGCACACATAGGGCGTGCTGGGACGGGCATAACATGGAGGCGGAAATATCTAGAGAGGGATGTTAGCATATCAGTCATGCTTGGTTTATTGTTGGTGATAATTCACCACGCCTCCCCCACTTTCTCACATAACATTTCGATATACGCTACGCAACTGTTGCGCGTTTGCGCGTTCTTCATGCCTCTAGCCAATCTTACGTCCTCTACCTATCATCTTGTTCCCAGCATTTGAGGACTTCATATGTCGACGCAAGCTTGGCCTACCGTAAGTGCGTGTTTAGTTCTGTCCGGTTGTGCCTTCTTCAAGATGGCGACAAGCTGATGCGTCGCGCCTTCCCGCTATACCTCAGTGCTCACCTCAAGACGTCACTGGAATTCCCTGAGAACATTTGACGTCTTCAAGGTAATGCTTCTTCTCTACTCTAGACATCAGCATGACAAAACGAAAAGGACGCACACCACCGCTGAGACCAGCAGAATATCTCAGCTATTACAAATACGGCATCCAACCCGGCGGTCAGAATGCAGACCCGAGCATTGGCTTTTCGAAAGTACCAGTCTGGGATGAGAGGACAAGCGATGAACACGTCCATAGGGGACCCGCCTTCACTACACTTCTCTCGCTTAAAAGCGAAACGATACGATATAATCATATCGCACAGGTCAACTCACATCCACCATCCATCGAGAATAGCCACCACACTCAGCGCAGCTCAAGTCTAGTCATCGCGATGGCCTCTGGTCATACACCTAGCGGCAAGATGCTCCCAAACTTTCTGTAAGGAACATGACATACCGACAACTCCGCGACTTTGGAGATAAAGCTGACATACATGACAGAACCATGAGTTTCGAAATGGTCACCATGCGTGTCGGCGAAGCAGATGTGGCAGTCGATATTCCCGTCTACCGCGATCAGCTTTCGGCTGTCTCACTGTACTTTCGCGGCGCGTTCGAGGGTCCTTTCAAAGAGGCTACGGATCGCATTCTACCCTTGACAGACGTTTCCGAACAGACCTTCCGGATATTCCTGCAGTGGACACACTTCCAAGCCAATTCTCAGTCGAGTGCTGCTTCCATGCGTACACATGACGCCGTCCTCCAGAAACTCATGACAAAATTGAGGGATGAAACCACTACCATTCCTGGAATCGACGAAAAAGGCTACCATGATGAAAGGAAGAAGAACGATTCGCGTTGGACGAATCCAGAGTCGGTGGTCGATTGCCAGTTGATGCGTGCTTCGTTCCTGCGCCTCTACGTTTTCGCTGACAAGTACGACATTCCCCAGTTTCGAGATGACATATTGACTGCCTTGATTGCACAGCCGCATGTATGGAAATGGCCTTCCAGTCCTGACCAAGATCTGATCGAGCATGCATACGCAAATTTGCCGCAGTCTTCCAAGTTCATCCGCTTCTTAGTACTTTCCGTGGCCACCTGGTACATTTGGGATTCTTCGTACGAGGACGCTACCAGGCTGCTGTGTGACCTGAAAGAGACGCATAAAGACTTCGCTCTCGAGGTCGCTATTCTGAAGGTCGAGATATATAGGGACAAAGTTTTCCCGAATAAGCATGGTGCCTCGTCTCAGCGGGAATTAACTCTGCCCCATTCTTGCATCTTGCACGAGCATCGAGTCCAGGACAAGAAGCAATGCCGGGAGCGCATACGCAACCATCCGTATATATTTAACATACTCATTGATGCGTGCTTGCAAGATGCCTTGGGCATGGAGGAACGGTGCAACAAGGCATAGGCATTCTGGAGTACGCGCTAGGGCAGATTGGTGTCAAGGGTCCAAGATACTATGCCGGGCTCTGAGATGTGATAGACAGCCAAGACAGGAGTTTGAGACCTGGAACAGCGCTACTGTACCACCGTGGGGACGAATACATTACTTGAGACTGCCGGTCAATGTGGGTCCTCAGCAGAGCGGGCACAGAACGGCTAGATGGGCTAAATTCGATGGAGCAGGGTTTCAGCGGAAGATACCGTAGAGAAAACGAATCAAAATGGCCTTCTAGACGAGCTATATGTGACTACGTGAAACATAAGAGACGAAACCATGGCCAAAATCTTGTGATGGCGTCTCGGCTCACGAACCCCAGATTGTTAGTGAGAAGCTATGGCCATAGCTAAAGTGGATGCAGGTGCAAGGATTTGTGGGCCTCAGATATGTCGATCCCGTCTCCGGTGCAGGACCCTCTTGTTTCGGCGAACCTGCTCGTCGCATTCCCGCACGCGTCGGCGGCACCACGGTCCATATAGTCCCTTGGGCTTTTGACACGGCTGAAATGCTTCACAACATCTTCTTTTGACGCTCCGCATCGCCCTTCATCTCAAGACAATTCAGCTGGCGCACGCATTTACCTGTTCAAGTTTTCTGCAGTAGTTCATCGCGCTGCGCTATTGAGATAAGAGGACGGCACGAGATTGGCTTATTCTTTTCGTCGCGTTTACGCGCAGGACCTTGATTCGAAGGAATTGGCCCTCTAATCACGCCTCTTCAGCGACAGCATCCCAATCGCAGCCATGCCAGACTATCCATCCACACCACCGCCCAAGTCGCCCTCGCCAGTGACTGTCCCGCGCTCATCCAGCCTCCCACGTCTAGCAAGTTCGAAGCTCTTTCTTCCTACCCAGAACGAAGCTTCCGCAATATCTACGCGTGGACATCACCTTCCTTCGCTACTCAACAGCGCGCGTCGGCCGTCTACAATACGCAGCAGTGAGCGCCGAGGCAGCGACACGGACGATGAAGACTTGGAGGCATACAGAAACGGGCTTATGATGCCTTACGATCGCGATTCGGATCGGAGGAGCAGCATAGGCGCGCATGTGCTCAACACACCGCAGATGAGGAGCCAGCGCTTGATTGGCAACTCCAATCCCAGGTACAAGTGGGAAAAGTACTACAAGACGGAAGAAGAGCTGAAGGGCATGAAGAAGCCGATACGGGAATACTATGAGCGTAACAACCAGCTTCTGCAGCACTACTTGTACATTGACCGTTTGCTCGATTCCTCACTCCCGCACAACCTCATTCAAGAGTACACGAATCTTGAATCCGGCGCCGTCAAGATCCCCACTACCATTACCGAAGAGTCTTCGGCTGTCAGCACCCCACTCGCTGTTACTCCCGGCTACGGTACAAACGGTACAAACACACCTGGTTATTACAGCGAGAACGGGCGAAGTGGTTCGTCGGGTAGTCTGAACAACGGCAATGGCGCAAACAAACCTATGGTCAAGCGCACACCCAAAAACCTCTACAAGGTCCCCGAAGCAGACGAGAATACCCCGCTCCTAGCACACGATAACGCTGTAGAAGACGAAGAAGATCTAGAAATCGCCAACTCCAAGTTAAAAGACTGGGTTCCCGAAGAAGACGAAGACACCGAAAGTCCGATTGTCAAGCTAGCGCTATACGTCAACCTCAGTGCAAACACTGCCCTCCTGATCATGAAGATTGTTGTCACAGTCTTGACTTCGTCGCTCTCCGTGGTGGCTAGTTTGGTTGATGCAGCCCTCGACTTCCTCTCCACCGCCATCGTCTGGTTTACATCCTGGATGATCGCACGTCAAGACAGATATGCCTACCCGGTCGGTCGTCGACGTCTCGAACCTATCGGTGTACTCATCTTCTCCGTCATCATGATGACGTCCTTCTTCCAAGTCGGCATCGAAGGCATTTCCAGACTCTCTGGACCTGACCATACAATCGTACAGTTAACTATCCCCGCTGTGGCCATCATGGCCGCTACGGTCGTCATCAAAGGTCTCTGCTGGCTCTGGTGCCGCCTCATCCGCAACTCCTCCGTTCAAGCACTAGCCCAAGACGCAATGACCGATGTCGTCTTCAACACCTTCTCCATCCTCTTCCCGCTCGTGGGCTACTTTGCGAAGATTTGGTGGCTCGACTCACTCGGTGGTATCTTGCTCTCCGCGTACGTTATTATCAACTGGAGTGCTACATCCGTGGAGCATATTCGCAACTTGACTGGCGCTAGTGCCACGGCGGATGAGCGTAACATTCTCCTTTACATGACAATGCGTTTCGCAAAGTCTATCAAGAGGATCCAAGGACTGCAGGCTTACCATGCGGGCGACAAGCTGAACGTCGAAGTAGATATCGTGGTTGATGAGAACCTCAGTTTGAGGGATAGCCATGATTTGGGTGAGAGTTTGCAGTATGTGCTCGGTAAGTTCTCGTCCTTTTCTTTCCTTCCAAGGTATATGAGCTAATGACGATACAGAGAGTGTACCGTATGTTGATCGCGCGTTTGTACATATCGATTACACGGATTACAACTTCCCGACACACATGTCGCAGCAGGAGTGATCTGAAGATGAGCCTGACAATTGAGTCGGCAATGTATTATAGTATCGAACAAAAAGTCCTTGGGTAGGATAAGCCTAGCTGGAAGCTGGAAGCGTATTATTTCACAACTCAAGTGTATTCGCATCTAAGAACGCGTATAAGGTTTTCTCAAAAGCTTGTAATACGCGTCGATCTAAAAGAAGAAAGAAAAGGTCTGCGGCAAGGAGTGTCGGAACAAGAGGGGCTTACAAGAAGAAAGTCACGACTCCAAGCAGACGAGACCGGTTGGGAAAATAAGGCAGGAAAGGCAAATCAAGCATTCATGTCGCCGTTGTCGCAATTGAATTTCGGCCGCTTTGGTTTCAAGGTCTTGTCTTCAGGGATTACCCGCATCCAGTTTATCGTGAAGTCAGCTGAAACATCCTTGATCCGTTCTTTTTCTGCCGTCACTTCTTCATGCCCAGCCTGAAGCGTACATTGTAAGCCTCAGACCTTGCGCGGTCTGCGACTCTACGCAACGTTTGACATGCATGTTCGTGCAGCGTCACGTCGCAGAGCCAAGTGCAAGCGGCAAAGGCTGAACTCAAAGCTGAGCCTCTCAATAGCACACCATTCCAGTCACATCGTTCAGTGTCATCGCATTTCTTCGGATAATTCAAGGCTTCGCAGTAGCAAGCCTCCGATGTTGTTGCATAAGAGGTGATAAAGACAGTAATGACGCTAGAGCTCCGCTAGCGCACCCAACACAGCCTAGCCGGTTTTGCTTGCCGCCTGCCAAGCGCACCAACATCGATCAATATTCTGGCTTTTTTCCGACAACGACAACACCTTTCGACATCCGACTACTCACAACAAGCAGTCAAGATGCCGGTATGATATCACTCTCCGCGGTTGCGAACATGTCTAGGATCCGTTATTGACACATTCATAGTCCCAGAAGTCTTTCCGCACCAAGCAGAAGCTTGCGCGCGCGCAGAAGCAGAACCGCCCCATCCCTCAGTGGATTCGCCTGAGGACCGGCAACACCATCAGGTACGCACCACTCACGATACGCACATCCTCGCCGCTTCCGATCGTCGCTACTGGACACTACGGGAATCTTACAATATGATAATGGGAGCACGAGACTGACATTCTACTCACAGGTACAACGCCAAGCGACGACACTGGCGCAAGACCCGTCTCGGTATCTAAGCGTATCGCCCCCGACAAACCATCCCTCACTCGATTCTCGATTCCCAATCACTACTTGTTCCTGCAACGACAATCTTCTCTACACGAAACGAGCGATTACATTGGGAATTTCGCATATGGCGGGAACCGAGCGACCAGTCTTCTAAGCGAAGTACATCTGCAAACGAGGGATGCTATGGGTGGTATTTCTTTTCACGTTACCGGATACCTACCTACCTCTCATTCATGGCGCTTTGGGTCTGTAAATGGGAATGAAGGGAATCGATTCATGATGGTTTAGATCCTAGGCAGTGATGAATGAAAGCACATGCTGGGTCGCAACAAACAATTGCTGGAGTACTGATGATCGTGATGTGGAGCTTTAGTCACCGAGGAGTTCGGTGCGGAATGCTTAAGGTGTCGCTCTTGTCACGAACGTCAAATGCGGGGTGACACTAGAGTGATTTTCGGCTCGTCATCACGTATGAGCCTGAGTAGACTGCACATACACAACACTCCCGTTAAGACTGTATATTACTGCGGTATTCGTATCTAACAATGATGCTCATGACATTGACGTCGTTCCAGAACTAGTCAAGCATGGCCCCTCCAACAACACCTTAAACACTTCTGCCGCCATCTATGCTCTTGTCCGCTCCCGACGGTGCCAGAACACCCATAGCCACTTCTTTGAAGGAATGTTCGTCAACGACCACCTTTAAAGAAGTTTCTCCGGCCAAGAACTTTACGAAGAACGAACTCTGAACCCCCTACGTAAGTCTGGATCAACCAAGCTGTAAAACGAAGCCAACCTCAATAATAACCCCTCTGCCCCATCACCGTCCGCTTCTCACTTGGAATTTCGGCCGCTCGGTCAGATCCACAATCAAACACGTCTCCTCGCTCTTGCCCGCTGTTTCGTATAAACTAACAACTCCCTTCTCGATCCGCAAAACCGTACTACTACCCGCATAGCAGACACCCTTCTCCATTCCACACCGGTTCGCCAAGATAACAAATATAGGCTTCTCCCCTCCAGCGTCAACGAGCGGTTGGAAACGTTCGACCCAATATGCCACTGTTGCAATATCTGGTTGTGATGGGTCCTGCATGAGTTCCGTGGGCGTAAGATGACATAACCAAGCCATGCTTATGCAAACAATTGGCGATTGCGACGACAGGGCGAGAGAGGAAAACTCGTAATCAGACCATGGAGAGACAAACTTGTAGGGATTGATATCCATACATATCCCCATAGTGACTTTCCCCAGATCACCTAGTTGGCCAGCGTAGAAGGGCGAGTCTGGTGATGAGGTATCGGATAGTTTGTGTGATCTTGACCCCGGGCCCTCAGACGCCCATGTTTCGTCTGTATAGTAGAGAAAGGATTTCCGGTAGTTGTGCAGCACTTCTCCTCTTGGTGATACAGTGACAGTGGAGTTATACTGCGTTTGACTGTCCTCGGGATTGGTATCCGGGATGGTGACCTCTGCATAACCAACTGTCACGTGGCAATTGTAGTGTTTTGCTACTTGCTGTGCCCATTGCGTGGAGATTCCGGATGTGGTGGGCTCGAGAAATGGTTTGATTTCCTCGAGCGATTGGAAGTTGTAGCCCGAGAAGGCGAGTTCAGGTAGGACGAGCCAGGTTAGGTCGCTGGGTATTGCGGCGGATCGGAGGATGTCATCGGCTCTTTTGATGTTCTCTTGGACGCGTCCGACTTCTGGAGCGAATTGGAGACAGGCGATTTTCATGTTTGCTGTTCGTTCTCTTGGGTTGGCTTCGGTTGACTTGAGATTCTGGAGTGGAATTTCCGAGGCGAGTTTTGGGTATTTTGAGGGCTTCTGAGAGAACACTTGTATCTTTCACTTGAATCAGTCCAGACTGATAGGCCAAATAGTCGCTATCTTCCCGTGCCGTCTGGAGTGTACCGATTGGTGCTACCAGGCACGAGTACTGGTCTATTCGTGTTACTAGATGGATACGCTTCCTGATTGGTGACAAAAAGCAGCATAGGGCCGGGTTCAGCGACTAATAAGGACGGTGGGTTTTTAGGAAATGCGATCGCGTGAGTATGACAATTCAGGCGGTCGCTCTGTTGAGGGTATGAATGCCCCACCAGGCGATCAAGACCCTTGCTCGGAATGAAAGCCAGCCAATCGTGCCATTTCCGCACTTAGGCCTAACTTGATGCAGCTATGACGCGCATAACTTTGATGGATTCACGACGGCCTCCACATCTTACGCACCGCTCTAGCACTTCTCGTCATGTGTCATATCTCCCGGTAGTTCTTTCATCCGATCGCAATGGCAGGCAGACGGCTCGTTGATGCCGCCAAACTCTTCAATGCCTCGAAATCCGTCGCACAGAAGCACATCGCGCTTCGATCGAGCCAGTGGGATGCCTACAACAAAACTTCGTCGTTAGCGAAAGCCGTCAAGAGTCAGACGGACTGCGTCACCCTCACAGCAGCGGCTGCCATTGCCCTCTCACAACGCTTCAGCGAAGAAGCTCCTTCCTACGCGAGAGCCGCAGCGGACCGGGCGACGAATACACAATGGACACGGCAGTCCGACATACCTAGAAGAGGGACGGTGGAGAAGGAAAAACCAGTAGATGATGTAAGAGAAGGCGTAGAGCAAGATCACCACTACGATCGATCCGCTCAGAACAGCGCCCAGGAACCTCCACCCACCGACGAGCTGGAGGTTGAGCAGAAAAAGGCCCCCAGATCACCACTTCCAGACGGGACAATACCGAGCCAGGGTTTGACCCTCGAACAGGAGGAGAAGGGTCAGGATACATTCTCCGAGAGGCCGGTACACGAAGCGCCGAAGGAGCCTCTGGCTGAGGACCAGGGTGAATCGGTCCGTCACAAAGACGAAGGCATCAAACCGGTAGAGTCCACAGAGACTACGATACCGTTACCCGGAAATCCCAGAGGTGCTTCGACTCAAGCCGCTGAAACTATCCCTGCACATGCGAACGACCCGCAACAAACTCCCATATCACCACAAACCGAGAAGCTTCAGAAAGGTCACGACAGAGACGTCTTCTACACGAGATCGGTCGAATCACAACCAACAACCGCCTCACACCCTCAAACACAGATACCAAAGACCTCAGGAACGAGACAGCAAAGTGATGAACATGTAGAGGACAAGCAAATAAATCAGGATGTGTTCTATAACCCTCCGAAGCCTGGGCAGGGACAAGTGGAGGATGTACCAGAGGGTATCAACACAGACGTCTTCCATTCAAGAAAGGTTGCAAGGATGTTAGGAAGTGACCCCTTCTCGAGGAAGGAATTTGCGGAACGAAAGAGCAGTGGTAGACACCCGCTCGACGACAGGCCCATACCAAAGACCAGCGGCAGACATCCACTTGACGATAGGCCCGTAGCGCCAGTGCAGCAGCAGCAAAGCCAGCCTTCGACACAAGAGCCTCAGCCGGCAACCACCTCGAAGGAGATGGAAGATCTGGCATCTCAATTGGCCCAGGACGTGCAGTCAAACGCGGCTATGTGTGAGGTATGAAATGTATATCCGCTTGCCTGAAGCCTGCTGATTTGCTGACAGATGTACAACAGTCACCCAATGAGGTAGCCACACAACCAGAGAAGGCCTCTTATGCGCTACGAGAATCGAGAGTCCCAGCATCACGGTTCGGTCGCATATGGCAGTATGCTGGTCTAGGCACAAGCATGGCTCTCGGAGCTGTTGGTGAAGGTCTCCGACGAGCGACCGGCGGCGCTGCATCAGCAACTGGGTCGCTAATGCTCAGTCCTGGCAATATGGAAATACTAGTTGCAAAGCTCTCGCGCATGCGAGGTGCCGCTCTCAAGCTGGGGCAGATGATCAGTTTCCAAGACATCAAGATGCTGCCGCCTGAGATCCACGACGTATTGCAGCGAGTGCAGGATAGTGCAGACTACATGCCAGCCTCACAACGGAATAAAGTCCTGAGCAGCAACCTTGGGGAAAACTGGCGTGACCTTTTCGAATCCATCGAAGATGTGCCTATCGCAGCCGCTTCGATTGGGCAGGTACACAAAGCAGTACTCAAGTCCAACGGCCAGGCAGTTGCTGTCAAGATTCAGTACCCTGGCGTTGCCAACTCCATCGACTCTGACCTTAGCAATCTATCTCTCCTGCTGACAGCATCTCGTCTTCTACCAAAAGGTCTATACCTAGACAAGACCATTGCCAACGCTCGAACAGAACTAGGTTGGGAGTGCGACTACACACGCGAGGCTGAATGCCAAACTCGTTTCCGCGACCTCCTCCAAGATGACACAGACGTCTTCACTGTTCCCAAGGTTTTTCCTGAAGCCTGTGGTCCTACCGTGCTGACCGCAGAGCTGATGCAAGGCGTCGGCGTCACTAAGCTCAAAACCCTTACTCAAGAGCAACGCGATTGGATCGGCACCCAAATCCTACGTCTCTGTCTACGCGAGATCGTAGAGTTCAAGTTCATGCAGACAGATCCAAACTGGACAAACTTCCTCTACAACGCTTCCGCCCAGAAAATCGAGCTGTTAGATTTCGGCGCTTCACGAGACTACCCAGACAAATTTGTTGAGCCCTACATCAAAGTCCTCATTGCAGCCTCTAAAGGCGATCGCGACTCCATCCGCGACCTCTCCCTCGAACTCGGCTACCTAACCGGTAGCGAGAGCCCCGCTATGCTCGACGCTCATATCCAGAGTGTCCTCACGCTTGCTGAGCCGTTCAGTGGCAGTGGACCTGAGATCTACGATTTCAGAGACCAAACTATCACGGACAGAGTGCGTGGTCTGATCCCAGTCATGGTCAAGGAAAGGCTTGCGCCGCCTCCCGAAGAGACATATTCGCTGCATCGAAAACTCTCAGGAGCGTTCTTGCTTTGTGCGAGATTGGGGTCGAGGGTTCCGTGTAAGGAGTTGTTTAGCAAGGCAGTGGAGACGTATGAGGGGAAGGCTGTTTTGAGGTAGAGCGGACGATGGACATGATGATGTGTAGTATAGTGTTATGTGTTGTATATTATCATTGTTAACACCATCAATACTTACGAATATTTTACGAGAAAATTTATTTTGCTTCGATTGCATAATTCACTTTGATGACCCCATCGAGACGGAGTGCACGGACACGGTACCCTTTACGCTCTAGCGCTGATGAGGCGACAAAGGCGCCGACTCTGCCTGCGCTCTTCTACACACTTCATCGTGTATGTCTGGCTCCTGTATCAGCGATGGCCAACCTCACCGAAAACGAGTTTTCTGAGGATTTTGGCTTCATCGCGCCATCTGCATTGCTACTGGTTAATCCAGCAGCAGCGCCATCAGACTTTGAGCTCCCCAGCGAGAACCTACACAGTCATACTAGCACGCGATATGCGTCCCTCTCAATCGGCCCTGCGACCAATCGTGCCATGCCTTCAAAGAAAGGTGCGCGTATTAACAAGGAAGGGATTCGCATTCTGAAAACCTGGTTCATCACCCATGAGAACAAACCCTATCCTCGTCACAACGACTTACAGTTCTTGCAGCAGCAAACCGGCCTAGAACACAAGCAGATCACGACCTGGTTTTCGAACGCTCGTCGTCGAGGCCTTTCTCGTGACTCTGGATCAAGACATCCGCAAGTCCACGACACTCAAACAAGCCCAATTGATATCATTGCGAGACCTGGTACACCTGCAGTGCAGCTTGGACTTCAGCATAAAGATCCTTTGCAACGATGGGTTGAATCGCCACCAGAAAATGAGGCTGCATCGTTTGGTGATATTTTCCGCGCTGTAACTACGGGTTCAGATTGCTCCAATAGTATGTCTCTAGTGAAAGCATGCACGCAATCAAGCTGACCCGACCTCGAAGGTGAGCACGACAATTCGGAAACGCTGTACCCATCGTCTTCTGCAAGCAGTGCCAGCACATCCTACTCTAATGCGCGGTCGGACTGCAACTCATCTGGATCTCAAACGTCCAATGGGCCGATTCGACGATCGCGCAAGCGGGGGCTGAAGAAAAACGACCGCTCCAAGAGAGCCTTTGCTGCACCCGATTTACCATTCCAATGCACCTTTTGCGTCGAGACATTCAAGACAAAGTACGACTGGCAACGTCATGAAAAGGCCCTGCATCTCTCATTAGAGCAATGGATATGTGCACCAGAGGGTCCAAGAATCCCGGTATCGGCCAGGCAAGAAGACCAATTCTGTACTTTCTGCGGCAAATTATCTCCTGACGATACACATCTCGACGAACATCAGTACTCTGCTTGTCAAGCACGAGATGAAATCGAACGCAGCTTCTATCGCAAAGACCACCTCGTACAACACCTAAGGCTTGTTCACAAAGTTGACACTACATATGTCCCACTAGATCGATGGAAGACCTCTACGCTGGATATACAATCGAGATGTGGGTTCTGCAGCCTAGTCATGCATACTTGGACGGAGCGAGTGAACCACTTAGGGGAGCACTTCAAGGCGGGTGCAACAATGGCGCAATGGCAAGGTGATTGGGGGTTCGAGGACCATATATTGCAGCGTGTGGAAGATGGCGTGCCGCCATGTACGTGTTCGACTAATTCAGTAAGTTATATATACAAAAAACAGTTAATCTGACCTCCAGAGTAGACTTCATTCATCTTGAGAAGATGACGCCTTGGCCTTTGCGCGCATGCGACACGCCAACCGCCACGTCTGTCAGCGCGTACGAGCTCCTTAAGCTTGAGGTCAACTTTTTTCGACAGAATTATTTCGATCTAAATGGAATACCGCCGGACGCTCGTACTCTTCAGCTAGAAGCATGCCGTATCATATTCGCATCAAATGCGCTGTCAGATACCGGGCCTTCGACATCGCAGCGAGATGATGGAGAGTCTTGGCTTCGCGACATCATTATGTCGAACTCAGATATCGCCACGGAAGCTCTTTTTGGGCCACTGCGTACCCCTTCCGAGGGTATTTCAACATTGCGAATCTGCGGCCGTAATCACCTTTTCGAGCGATGTCCACTAGAGACTCAACTTCGTGCTTTCGCACAAGCAAAAGCTGACGCATCCGTTGGTCTGCCGGACTGGACACTCCAGCAAGAGGCTTGCGAGATCATCCGCCGTATCGAGGATGCTCCCAATGCTACCCTAGAAGGCTTCGCAGGCTGGCTTATCCACGCGATCGGAGTAAACAACATTTGGCTGTCAGCTTTCAAGCTACGCACCAGCTTACCTTCTGACAATCAGAACCCACCCGCAGCTTTTCCAGCCCAGCCAATCGATGACCAAGGGCTGCTTGCTCCCTTTTCCATGGAGCCCTCGTCCATTGCCGGACTCCTCGAGGACCCTTTCCACACGACAGCTCATGGTCCATCTCCGCTTGTTCCCACCACTGGTCTACCTGATAATCACTCGCGAAGCCACATGGCCATGGGCACGAACTTCTACCGCCTCTTTGCCAACGACCTTAGGCGCTGGGTCCTCGCCACCATGTCCCCATCCAACCCAGGCTGCCATGTCCCATCTGATGCGGAGATTCAGCATCACGCGCGCTGGATCATATACGAATCTGATGATCCGTGGAACCAAACTGCTGCGGATCACCCTGAGTGGCTGTGGCGGTTTAAGAAGGATGTCGGTATCATCGGTACTGAAGATTCCACTGGAACTATGGGGCTTCAGAAGCTGTAGCGCATTTGGAGCACTACAGCCAGGTGTGAGAGGAGAATGTGGGGCATGTGTCTGGGCATGCAAGGAAAGGAGAGGAGCCGTGCTGCGATTCAATGTCGCTTGTGATCGGTTCGCAGGTCTCGAAGAGTGGGACCTCTTTCCTCTACCTATTGTGGTAGGGAAAACTTTCTCCTAACACACAAATACTCGTCTCTGATGAACTGTCGTTTATTGGGGGAAAAGGCGAGGCGTCGCAACAACCCATGGAGCGGCGTCAAGCGTTTCCGATCAATACGCCTTGTGATCCATGAGACTACACCCGAACTTCAATCAGCTCCAGGCGAATGCAACATAACAAATGAAAGTCTCAGACCGGTGGAACTAAGCTAGGTGTCGCGGTCCCGCACATGAAAATTGCTCATCGTCAACATACTCACGTCCTGCGCCTCACGCCCTGTGACGCGATCTAGCGTCTTGGCTCGAACGGATCGTAGGAAGCGCTTGAGTCTCCAGCGAGCAGATCAAACAGTATTTAAGCCTCAAAATGGCTCAATACAGTCACTTCGCTATCAGCCTCAATCTGTTTTTACACCCAACGCTTCCTTAAGCATCATGCCCACCATTCCCGCCCGGTCTAGCGCCATACAGCATTTGCGCGCTGGTCAGTCCATCAAGATCATCAACACAAGCGGAGGTCAAGTCATCGACACCTGGGCCTTTGTTCCAACCTCAGGCTTCCCTTCTTATATGTCGATGTCGCACACGCGATCCACCCACCATAAACTGGAGCTTGCAGTCGGAGAATCGTACTTGGACAATCACCGCAACCCCATCCTGACAATCACTGAAGACACTTCTCCCGGACATCACGACGTGCTCTACTCCGCCTGCTCTCCTGAGCGGTACATCCAACTTGGTGCTCCAGCGAACCACGACAATTGCGCGCAGAATCTGCGGAAGGTAGTTGATACATACCAAAACCCTTCAATTCAGAAGCTAGGGGAGCTGTTGGAGTATGGTTGGATCCCTGATCCTTTGAACCTGTTCATGAGTGTTCTTGTCGCGGACAACAAGATACCTTGCGAAGATCCAGCGGGCAAGCCAGGCAGTTACATCGTCTTGAAGGCAGAACAAGAATGCGTTGTCGTAATGAGCGCGTGCCCGATGGATGTCCACATCTGCAACGCAGGTGCACCGACTAGTGCAGAATTTGAGGTATTATAGACAACTTAAGAGATTTCCTAGTGGAGGCTTTGGGAGTTACGAGTAAACTTTGAACGTTATCTCTGGCCGTCAAGCACAATCGCCCATGTGGATAAAGCGAAAAGCTCCACTGGAAAATTGCTATAAGCGAGTTAGTAACCGTTCGTCAAACGTCTGAGCTTTGAGATAGTTTCAAATTGCCTGTGATCAGATAGGCGAAACCATGCCATGGTATATCCTCATGTAGAGTAGGAACGGCGAGTGATAACCGTTTCATCATCAGGAATAAAATTTTGTGTAGAGAATGGCTAGAAACTTACAGTTGCTTGTCGTTCAAGGAATATTCAGAACAAGCGGTGTCATGCAGGGCGATAGACGAGCGACTCCGGGTCAATCATGACAGACTTCCGTCACAGGAATGACCCATCCTTGTCCATGTTGTAGAGCGAGATGGGATAGAACTAAGGATTTGCTCATGCGAAGGTCGTCATGGCTTAAATGTTGGCTCATGAACGACCTATGATTGTTAGAGATGATCCAGAATGACTCATTTTGATTCACTTCATATCGATGTACGAACTTAGTGTATGTCGCACGTGCAGTTCGTACATGGGAAGATTCAAACCAGTAAGATTTGGCTGGCAAACAAGTTACAGTCAAGTTCGCTGAAGTTGACTATGGCTTGATTGTATTATGGCTTGATTGTATTATGGCTTGATTGTATTATGGCTTGATTGTATTGTGGCTTGTTGGTTGGATCGGCTGTTTGAATGCAAAATTATGGTAATTTGCACCAGCATGTCTACGAGCGTAATGTAAACTATCGTAATAAAACCACGCGCTATGCTTACCCTTCGAGACACTGAAAATCTAGGTACGAGCTACAGAACGAATAGGTTAATAATGGAGAGGGTAACCACAAGGAGATGATTGCAAAGCGAAGGACAATTGATATTCGGGGAACGTAGAGTATATTCCACGTATTTTTTCTTTCTGTGTCGACACATTCGATGTCCACTGTCAATACCTGCTATCCAGGACGATATAACAATACTGTTATAACATCAATCATGCACTTTTGCTACCCAGTTTTTTGTTGGCTTCCTTCTTCAGGTCCTCTTCAGCCTCGCCGTTGAACCACAGATATGCTGCAAGCGCAATGAAAGAACCGTATCCACCTGCCATGATCATTCTACCACGGAAACCTTGCTTCCTTTTCAAGGCCTCATCTCCGCCCAAGATAACCACTGCTTTCTTTGACCATGTATACTCGAGGCCGCTGTACAGTGTCGTACTAGCGACGACAGCCGAAATTCCCTGGATCATCGTCTTAACTCCTTCTTCACCTCCTAGCGCATCTTGGATCGACATGAGCAAACCCCCCGCTGCAGATGTGGTGGCGGAAGGGTCGTGCAGCAAATTGGTGCAAAGCAGCGTGCCCAGCAGACTCAACTGCAGGAATGTGTTGAACTTGGAGATGGTAGTGGGATGTACCTCCGCACTCGGCAAGCTGAAATCCCAGTATCTCGCCATCGTCTTGGGCGCCGGCAGACTGGCATACCGATAGTAGAATGCACTGAGCGCCAGACTGACATCTCTTCCTAGAATTAGTGCGGCTAGTGGCATCGGCAGACTACCGTTCACTGCCAAACACGTTACCAGAGTTGTCATCAAGAATTTGTCGGCCATGGGGTCAACGACACTTCCAATAACAGTTTGGAGATTCCAACGCCGGGCAATCCAACCATCGAGAAGATCGGAGAAAGCGGCATAGGTGAAGAGAGTGAAGGCGTATAGATGGTGGTTGTGTATGATTAGATATCCAACAACAGGAGTTGCGACAAGACGCGAAAACGTAAGAATGTTGGGGATGTTCCAAATCTGCTCGTGGCGCGGTTTGTCGAGTTTGAGGGTGGATTTTAGGGTCGAAGCGAGTTTGGCGGAAGTTGAGGCGGGCGAAGGGTGCTGTATACAATCAGCCATAAGTTCCGGTAAGGCAACCTGGTGTTCTCTGTCTATAATTCAATCTAGTATTTCAAATGAAACAAACGAAAACGTCGAATTAAGGAAACCCTTGTGATCCATCATTTCCGAATAGAATGGACATATGTAAGTTCGAAATACACATCGGATTTGGGAGGCGACATATCATCTTCGAACATAAGTGGAACATAAGCTGTTGTTGGAGAAAAAAAGTGCGCGCTTACCTCAGTGCTGCTCCTTGAAGCCGAAGAATTCGGTACTTCATCTTCAAGTTTCAGTCTTCGCGTGGTTGATGTACTGAACAGACTAGCGGGCCGAATACCACATTGCCTGTAGGGTTTGTATACTAAGGGATGTCGGCTTGCTTTGACGTCATCGCGAGTCCAGGTACAAGAGGCACGTGAGGAGACTGAACACAGCGTTTGTCGACGCTGTGTAAGCCGCGAAAGTGTTCTTAGGTTGACAGATGCGTCCGAGAGAGCTGCAATGGCGCGAAAAGGTACATTGGCCCCCGCCGTGAATGAAGGAACCATCGATGCTGGTGCCTTCGCGTGTGCACCGTCGCGCTGAGAGGTCAGCTTGAGGCTCGCGGCTGCCGTTGGAGTTTGCCAAGAACCGCTAGCGACAAAAGCAGAAGACGCCTCACAAACACTGTTTGCACTTCCTGTCTGCACTCACATTAACCATCAAGGCGAATGTCTTCAATTCGAATTGTATGAGCATGAACTACCGATTTTGTACGAAATGGCACGCGAACATTCAGCACGAACTAACCTTCACCACTTACCTTGTGTTCGCCAGATGAACGAAATGTATGGCGACTGAAGCTACACTGACCATGAAAACCTTGAGGATAATCACAAGCAGACAGCACATTCATGCACCAGATAGTGCTTTGCCACCGGAAAATGTTGGTTCGAGGCTACGGGCCGTCTATGCAGGCTCGTCAAAAAGAACGCCTAGCCATCACGGCGACACTGCGGGCAAAATACTGGAGATGGCGATAGATGCATCTCTAGGGTCTTGTAAACTTTCCACACTGAACGATGTGATGCATCCTAGACGACGCCACCGGCATCGACAACGGGGTCTGACACTTGGTGGTGTTAACGGTTGCTCAACACAATCTTGACAGCTAGTCTACGCTCTGGAAGAACTGGAATCACGTTAGCAGCTGTTGAAACCGCTGAGAAAGCATGGTTAGTGAGAAGCTTCAGCTCGGCAGAGCTTCCCTGGTTTCGAGGCTCAGTTCAAGCGAGACTCACTCCGATCCTCCGGTACCCAGCTGGAAACCTATGCTTGCAGGCTTGCGCTCTTGCCACCACACTTCGACATCGCCGAAGACAATCCGCGCTCGCAGGGAGTATCATGCGTTCAAACACCGCCAACGCCTGGTTCAGCTGTTCCGCCGCTTCTCCACGCATCGTCAGTCTCAGACTGGCCCGCGGGACTTCCATCAAGTTCCGCACTCAGACTTCCCTGCTGCAAGGTTATCATGTGTAAATCGCTTCTCTTGTCTCCCGGTCTGATTATTCCCAGCCTCGGCATCGTATAGCTCTCATTAAAACTAACCACCAGTGATCTCCTTTGATTACTATGTCGCGATAGCCGCAAGTCGTCACGAGAACGGGATCTACTGATCGCCCGGGTCTTACCGAGCGATGGAATGAGCCGTCGAATCAGGCGCCACGTGTGAGGTTGGAGATTCGCTATCGTGAAGTTGCAGAGTCCAAAAACGGAGGCAAAGACTATCGATTCCAGCGGGGTTGGAGTCCCTCTGCTAATCTCCGGGGCATACGATCACTAGCTTACATCTGTAGTATGTCTCTGAGACAGGAAACTGCCTGTAGCCTTGCCCCTAAGCCCACTGGAACAGGTGTTGCTATTTTCGCCACTCGAAAGGCTCAGCAATCCTGGGTGAAATCGCACACCTTCTCTTCTCTACGTGCTACGGGCCGTCCTTCTGAGTGGCTGCAGTAGCTTGTCTCCGGAATTGACTTTGGGTTTGCCCTGTGTCATGCGTTGTGCATCAAGACACTAGGAGATAGTCGGTGGCTTCGCTTCGTTAGCAGCCCACTGTATCCGCTCAGGAACTTTAATCGTCCTGCGTCCACGCCATAACCTCACCTGAGATTATTGCGCAATGACGACGAGCGGAGTGGGGCTCGGTAGGAAGGCACGTAGAAACGTTCCAGAAGAACGTAATGCCAACACAGGATTCAGCTCTTCACAGTTCACCGGAAATGTTCGGCTTACACAACCAAGGTACATTTCCCATGTCTGTCTAGCGTTGGATCTTCGTCGAGCACTTACTGATCTCCAGATCACCTCAGGCTCGAGCCGGCAAGAACTACCCACGGTCAGTCTGATCATCCCGCGATGCGCTGATAATGGCAATGTCGTCGTCCTCGTGGACCCTTCTGCAAAGTGACAAATTGACGTGAAACTGCCGACAATCTGATACCCAGCCTCCGAAATCTGATACACGGATGGCAGATCAACGACCTAAACGCGGAAACGACCCTGCTTCGGCTGTTCTGCCCACGTTGCCATGTGCATAGATGTGCACTGACTTGCCTCGTTACGCCTGCCAGAATCGAGCAGCCTCAAGCATGCGACAACGGTATGGAACTCTGCTTGCGCAATGGGCGAACTTCAAGCTTTTGACATGTGGATTCTGCCCAGGTTGCTTGATGCAGACTGAAAGGGGTCTATCAAGTATCCATGCGGTTGCAACGGCTAAACTTGCCAGCCTACTCCATTGCCGTCGGCTGCTCGACCAAGTCGCCAAAGCAGATTACTCAAAACACGTTATCGACGGAAGTGCACACCCGCCATCCCTTTTCCTGGAGGATACTTCCTATCTGTTGCTGCAAGTCATGACTTGTCAATAGCACTAACGGTTATTCAATATTTCAGGTGGTGGTTTGCACCGCATGCATCAGATCTAGTTCTGCTATAACATGGCATGATAGGACAAGCGCAGATTTTTGCATGCAGGTCCTCATCACAGGCGACGTTGAAGCGAAGGCCATTCCACTTTTGACCGGCATCTCGTGTCCCGTTCCGGCAGTTGGCCTGAGGGCCATGAGTTTCAGGAGTGCGACTCCAGCCTCCGCTAACGCAGGTACACTTTCCCACCAACCCAAAATGTTGTTTACTCCGTCAAGCGTGTCATCACTAGTACACTTGTATCCCCGCGATGATTTGTTTTCGGCAACGGCACTGCAGGTCTACGATCGAGCACGAGTCTCCGCAGAAACGGCGCCGATGTTTGTGTCGTGGATTCAGATATGGGTTCGCCCGATCATCGTGTCGGACACGAGTATACCGAAAGCATCGCACAGTCCGCAATCGGTGAGGAAACGTTGATTAGTGTGGAGTTGCGACTCGTTGAATGCATATGGTGGGGTGCTATGAGTCCAGCATTCATGTGCAGCTCCACCAGCAGACATGCCCACCTTGTGAATTGCAAGCAAAAGCTTGGAGCGCAAGTATGTACGCGGTGTCTGTGACATCAAGTCTTCATAACGCATGAATGTCCAGGTAATGGTGCCCTATTACATTCCGAGCGGGCAGCGCTTGTACGCGAGAGGGAATGCCGCCGAAGGTTTTGATTCGTTCCCCGACCAATGAGCGAAGACAACCGGTGGGTAACGGCTAGTCAAAAGTAAGTTCTGAAACGAGTTCCGCTATCTCACTGGCTTGCGAGCGGAGCGTGACGCCGCGCAGAGAGGCTTCAGTGCATGGCAGAGGGCGCGCTCTTAATGTGTGGATGACAAGTCCGGACGTGAGTAGGTGACGAGCAAACGGCGACAGATTGGATGGGAATGCAGCTCTGCGATGACATGGAGATTTGCAAGAGCCGATGGCCGCTCCCGCAGACTGGCTAAAGAGCGTGTTTCAGATGGAGATCAAACGATGCCCAGTGTGATCCTTCTGCTGGTTCCTGCATCTAGACGCACCTCAGATGGACACTTGACCAGCCACAAGTGATGACTTCAGCGACGAGGCTGGGTGGTGTAGTCATTGACGACATGTACCCGTGACGCTTTGGCCGAATTTGCACGAAGGTGCAGCGAGCAGAAGTTCAGGGTGTGTGATGTTCCTGCATCCGTAGCGCAACCTTGTTGATGGATGCTCTGCGCGTCACGATTGCCGGCCATGGCAGGCAGGCAAACATGGTTCACAACAGCACCAGGGAAGTGGCTAGCAGCAATGAGGGTGTGGGCGGAGGGCACATTTGACAGCGGCCGGATGCGGCAAAAAAAGGAAATGTCGCAAGCAAGGCAGGTCGACGGTTGTGCCGAATGCGAGATATGATATTGTGTTTGCGACCATGGGACGAAGAGAGACGGCGGGCTTCCAGGTGGCTGCAAAGTTGCGCCTCTGGGACTAGAGGCACATGACGATGGCCGCTGGACGTGGACATGGACGACGGTTCCTTGGCCGGATCATCGAGCTAAACTGACGCAAGAAGCGTGTTTTCCCATGGCATGAAGCAGCAGCGGCGGCCATCGGACCGCGATGATCAATACTCAAGATGGGCAAACTGGACGTCTGTGTCTCGAGGGCCTCGTGGTGGGCTGCAAGCGAGGCTTAAGGTTTTCGCGCGTCGTGGAAAAGGCGGGGCTAGACCGGATGTGGCCTCTGCGCCGAGGGCAGCGCGCAGGGCAGGTGCGAGCGGCGAGCAGCAGCAGGGAAGGCAGGAGTGAACAAGGCGCGAGGAAAGGGCGACCCAGGCACGCAGCGCACCCAGTGCGCGTCCCAGTAACATGCGCCCGGGGAAATGAGCCAGCGCAGCAAGGAAGCATCCCAGAGCAAAAAAAGCCGCTCTCCACCTTGACCACCTCGTCCGCCAGCAGCGTCCCAGCGCATGGGCGGCCAGGCCAGCACATTAGCCAACCTTTCGCGCGCCCTCATCACGGCAGGCATGCACGGGCGTCCCACACGAGTCGCCAACACCCCTGCCGACCAACCTGGCCTTTGCTCTCGCCTCGGCGCCCCAATTGGCCGCACTACCTGCACTGGCCAGGCCGCTGACTGGTGTGCGGAAATAGATCAATGTGAGACCACTAGTCTCCTGTTTCACACGCCCTCCGACACCTAAAGCTGCCGCTGCCCCCTCAGATTTGCGTTTCGTATCCCCCTCCCAGAGCTGTACCTTCTTGGTGAATTCTTGAGACTGCTATCTGAGGCAGGTTCCTCACGTTTTTATTATCCGCCTCACAGTCGCGTTTTATTATCGTATCCTTTTAAACATAGCCTGACACTCTTTCGTTTTCGATCCTGGCAGGTCCTCGTCGAGCAAGACCCTCGTGTTCCATCATCAACCCATCTTCGGGCCACCGCGTCTGACGTTCCCACTTCAAACACCTGTATAGAGGAACGTGTTGCAGCGCACCATGTATCCATCACAACACCACCAACAGATGCCGCCGCCTCAGGCACGATCTGTCGCGCCCGAGACTTTCTTATTAGACCAGGACGCTCAGCAAAGCCTCCCGCCGGACAGTGTCGTTGCCCTGCAGCAGGTCGACAACCGTACGTGCCTGCGCCGCGCATGGACCTTTTGTGTAGCTTGCTAACACCACCGCAGTCAAGTACTTCCTCATATCAGCGCCCGTTGACTGGCAACCCGACCAGTACATTCGCCGCTTTCTTCTACCAACAGGCGAATACGTCTCGTGTGTTCTATGGTAAGTCTAGTATTTATTTCCCTACTTTGCTCACGACTCTAACAATGCCTAGGAACAACCTTTTCCACATCTCAGGCACAGATATTGTACGATGCTTGTCATTCAGATTCCAGGCCTTTGGCCGCCCAGTGAAGAACTCGAAGAAGTTCGAAGAGGGTATCTTCTCAGATCTGCGCAACCTGAAATCCGGCACAGATGCATCGCTCGAAGAGCCCAAGAGTGCATTCCTTGACTTTTTGTACAAGAACAACTGCATTCGAACACAGAAGAAGCAGAAGGTCTTCTACTGGTACAGCGTACCGCACGACAGGCTTTTCCTCGACGCCCTTGAGCGCGACCTGAAGCGTGAGAAGATGGGCCAGGAGGCAACCACCATGGCAGTCAGCGAGCCTGCGCTCTCTTTCGAGTTCGATTCATCACAGTCGCTCTTCGAGCAGCTTACCAAGGCACAACAAACAAACTCCTCGTCGTTCAACAACAACGTGCAGCCTTCGTACCAGAGCACATCGCCTGACATGCGCGAGATGTCCATGCCTCCACCAACCATGGTCCCTGTCCAGCAGCCCATGCCCCAGATGCAGCAGCAGCAGATGCAGCAACCAATGCACCACGAGGACCCAATGGCCCAGTACCACCAGCAAATGTCAATGCCTCCTTCCATGCAAAACACAGTCGTCAAGAGCCGAGAGCACCGCGAGCTCAGCCAGTCTTTCCAGTACGACCGCAACGGTATCCCCTTGTCGCAAGTCCACCAGCGTCACAGCTCGATGCCTGCGTACATGGAGTACTCGCCTGCGCCATCTTTCGTCTCTTCTCACTACGAGGATTACAGCACTCGCGGCATGTCCTTCGAGCCATTGACCCCTCCTCAACACCAGATTGGCCTCGGTGCTGAGCCTGCCTACATTGCGAACGAGGACACTGGTCTTTACAGCGCCATTCCAGACCTTCCAGTTCCCAACACATTCAACCCTCTGATGAACATGCCACCATCGAACTTGATGGGATCTGGCTACCCTGGTGTCTCACGACCATTCGCTCCTGGCAACGTCTACTCCGTCATTGAAGGTTCGCCTACCTACAAGCAACGCCGGAGGCGTTCGTCCCTCTCTGCGGGCATCGCCGCCGCTGTCACCGCTTCCGGTGCCGGTGCTCACCAGGTTCACCGCCCAAGTGATCTGAGGCGATCAATGTCAAGCTCCGTCGTTCCCCTTGCTGAGGTCGACGAGTCAAACCACAACTCGCCCAACAGCCAGAACGGTACAAGCTACCCTCAGATGCCTGAGGCGAAGCCTCACATGGACATGTCCCGACAGGGTACCCCACTCAACACCGTCGAAGAGAGCCCGGAGCCACAATCGGCTTCGCTGCACCACGACGACCTGAACACCCTGGTCAACGGCGAGCTGTTTGAGAGCCCCCTCCAGCACAGCGCAGTCGCTCGTACCGCTGGTGCAGGACCCGTTTTCCGACGCGCCCGCAGTGCTACCATGATGGAAATCGGCCCGTACCCCCAGAAATCGCACTCCTGCCCGATCCCCACATGTGGTCGTCTCTTCAAGAGATTAGAACACCTCAAGAGGTAAGCGCTCACAATCTCCCCGTCATTCTATTTTTGTGACACAAGGTCACTTGAATCTCCACTATTTTTGTTGTTTTGCATAGACGCTGACCTGGCGCTTAGACACGTACGCACCCACACACAAGAACGACCATACGTTTGCCCGTTGTGCAACAAGGCCTTCTCGCGCTCAGACAACCTTGCCCAGTGAGTACCCATGTTGACATCCAATTATAAACCACATACTAATTAATTCATCAGACATCGTCGCACACACGAGCCCCGCGCTGACGGCGAGCCGCTGAGCGACTACCAAGATGAAGAAGACCTTGAAGGCGAGGATGACCACCTCAACTCACTCCAAGACGAGCTTTCGCCCGAGTCTGGCAACGAGTACCTCGGCCTGTCGCACTCTATCAACGATATTCCCGGTCCAGGACTCGGCATGACCATGGCGCCACCACAACACAGCCTCATGGCCGGCAGCCACTACTGAGCATACCCTATCACGACGTTACACACGTGACATGAGCATTTCGGCGCAATCAAGGGCGCAGCCATCTAGAAGGATACCAGTCTGCTGTTTTTTGTTCAATCTTCTTGTTCCACTTCGCGTTTAATCCTCTTAGACCGATGTCTGTTCTTGTGTTACCGGCATACACTTTCCATGTCCGCGCTGCATCTGTTTTCCTTTTTCCTTTCCAACCTTCGGAGCTAGGGGATGGTGTGATACCACCGGCTTTTGGGGGATTGGGTGACGACACAACACTACGAACATGAGTACCACTTCTTTTTCTCGTCTCATCGTTTCACGTTTCTTTCTCTTTTTTCTTTTCTTTTTCTGCCCTTTCCGATCTGTTGCTCAGCGCTTGTTGATGGATATATCCTTGGTGGCATGGTTTGCTTTGTTGCAAAAGTTGTTTGATGGTGGACTGGGAAGTTTGGATACCATTTGAAGCGCACGTATACGCATATCGTTGCTGTTTTATCTTTGAAGATATGCAGGTAGCTTGGTGGTTTACGTCAGTCCTCTTCAAGAGGCGGCGTGTGTATAATATTTGAACTCAATGCAAAACGCATAACTGCAACCTTATCTTTATTGCCGTGATACTCGCCTGCCCTTTGACCATGGTGACCATCGCCGTCAATACCCACTTCATCCTGCATTGCATCCTCAGTCACATCACATCAATGCTTTCACAAAACAGCACTCAAGATGAAACAACACTTCATCTCGTCACACTTGCCATGAGCACATATCTTGATCCCCGTCTTGCCCCACTGAACAGCATAGCACAGCATCAGCATACAATACCCACCTCGCGCACTTCGCAAATAGTCATACCGACAATTCGCCTCTCACCCCTGCCCAAACCAACACTTCACCTTACCTCGCCTCCTGCACATGTTTACGTCATATATGGCCAACGCGCTTGTTTCAGAAGTACTGCGCCGTACATATGCCATGCCATGCAGCAGATGTATAGTACTGTGCCGCAACTGCACCGTGCCGCAAAGCAAACTTAGGTAGAATCGGACGAGGGACTGAGGGGACGTGCTGCTAACATATGGCTCGCGTGTGGCTTGCCGGACAAGGTCGGAGCGGTGGTGGAGAGAGGCACACATACATATCTTTTTGTTGGTTTGCGTGAACGGTGTCTGTGCAGATGATGTGGATGAGTGGAGATGGGAATTCGTGTGGTGGGTTTCTGGATGGCGGACACGTGGGGGGTGGGGCTGTGCATATGGGCTTTTGGATAGGCTTTTTAGGTGGGCTTTTTGGATGGCAGTGGTGGCACTGTACGTTGAGATTATCGGACTTGTGGCTGTGGATGGCAAACTTGGGGCGGTGTGTAGTGTAGGAGTTGGCTTTTACCGACGCGGTCTCGGAGTCCGGGAGGGATTGGCTGATGGATACTATTACGGCTTACGAACACTGCCTGATTCTTTTGCTATATTCATGATGTTCAGGCTTAGTGCATACTTGCTACTTAGTTGCAGTAAGATGATATTTGGCATGCAATCGGTATGGACACATGGTGGTATGAGTGTTGAGCATTCGGGGAGACTCAGTAGGTCGGAGGGGTCCTAAGCGGTACTTCTCGCTAATCGCCGATTCAAAGTTTCTATATTCACAGTTGGGCAGGTACCTCGAAAAAGCCGTGGTAAGAGCACCTGTTCGGAGGGCTGCCGACTGGTACACCTCGCTTATATGCCGATCAAAGTGCAACCGTATTGTTCGATCTCGCGATCGCATAGCGCGAAGTGGAGGGAAAAGACAGGGTGCATGTATAGCCCCGCGCTAGAAAGCGCGAAGAAGTACCCCTATGGTCTGTTGACATGTTTCTTTTTGACGGGAACGTTGCTGCCGTGTGTAGGCGTGCTTTGTGGTACGCTTACGGGAGCAGCTTGCTCATGCCGTATGTTTTCTCTTTTCGGGAGTTTGTGCCGCCGTTGTAGGGATACCATGTACATTTGTCCAGGAGGATAACGCGCGGTCTGTGAGTGGTTGTGTGTAAGATGATGTTGCGGTCTTAGTTCGCCATCGCCAAAGGTAGGGTAATTTGCTTATCCTTGTTCATTTCAACGTACCGATGCTACCTCGAATCAGTCGGACGATTACGTGATCACTTCTTGAGTAGTTTGTGTATAGATTGTTTTTCTTTTGAAGTACTAAGCGGTGTCCGTAGTGTGTGCTTGTGGGGAAATACCCTTGAGTCTTGCAGGGTAGATGATACCTAGGTAGTAACAAACAGCTCAGACCTCACATACCTACACATGCGAGATTTGGTCTTATTGCCTAAGTACGGCTAAAGGGTCGGAGTGATGAATAATTCGACCGTGCATCCACTTTTCTTCGAAGTTCAATGTGCTAGATCGACGATGAGTCGAGGCACTTATCTCAGGATGATGCACTTAGCTTCCTACCTAGATACTTTTGGGTGCCCCTTTCCTGGGAAAGGAAGCGGGGCCAGCGAATTTACCAGGTGTCAAGGTGGATACATTCCGTTTCCTTCAAGATTGGCTATGTGCGCAAGCGACACGACATAAGAGCTTTGTCTCGATCGAATCTACGGGGTAAATGAAGCCTACATAGGTTATAATCACTCTGCTTAGCTGATCTCGAAGGTATAATGCTACGCTATACATAGATGCATCTTACGTGCTTACAGCTTGACATGTGTTTGCCTGGAAGTTCTTGGCTCTGATGTAAGATTTGTTTTGATGTGTTCCTCGCCTTCGTGTCTTTGCAAACGTGTCCAATGTGCCTTGGTTGAGGCAAGACATCATGACTTGTTGACCTTCAGAGACTGCACACAAAATTCCCAAAGCTATTGTTTGACAACAACATCTCGATGAGATCACTGTTAGAAAACTCCTCATCTCGAGTTGAAATTCTGAAGCAGCATGTCTGCGATGTTGTCAATCTCGATATAGGCCCACTCGATGTCGCGGGTGTCAACAATTGCGGAAATAATGTGGGTAATAGCATCCAGGCAGAATATGCACTACTACAAGAGAGTCATTGGATGATGTTCAAGAAAGCTGTGATTTCATGGGCATCGGAATAACAATGGGCAGATTGAGTGCCGCCGACATTAAACATTTGATATGCAGTTCACATGAACCTTTCGCGCAACGTGTTCGGCCTTTTAGCCTACCATGAAACACAATGCTAGGCTAAGAAGGAAACTATAGATATGAAGAACATGAGAGCTAAGGAAGAGACCAAAAACTGAAAGATGGAGGATAATGTAATCTTGAGTTTCTGACGAAGACAAAGACATAGGCCAACAGCGGTATCGGATTACCGGATATAGCAATTGAATTGTCTGAACATCGTTGAGAACCCTCTGAATGTATCGGGATAAGCGCTGGATATTCTTCTAACCAGGTACGGATCATAGCTCCATTGGTAGCCTACCGTCGGTTCACGAGGTTCACTCCACGAATAACCCCACCTTCTCAAACACACGTTCTCCAAACGATTTTCTGCTCAGACTGTAGCCTGCTTTAGCCGGCTTTAGAGCAGAGATATGGCAGAATTTGCCCCTCCAGTCCGCCGCGGCGACTTCGTTTACTCCTCCGTCCTCTACGCAGACCCTGGCGGGAATCACCACACGCGCGCCAGTGTCGCTGAGCTTGCGGCTCTCCTCCGTCCGGAAGCACCCAATCTATACAACAAGGGTAAAAAGCCCGAAGTCGCGACACCAGTAAAGGATCAAGTGTGGCATTTCTATGCTGCCCAGCTCATTCACTATGGTTTGCCGGTCACAAAGGACAAGAACGCGGCGAAAGTGCGACTCCTGAATGCCATGAACCAATTCAAGCTTGAGGTATCAGCGTGGATTTTGAAGTTGGAGAGCGAACTAAAAGCCGAGTGGGAGGCAGAGAATAGGAAGTTAAAGAAGGGTGCCAGTTTGGTAAGTTGTCACTATACGGAAAACATGTGAGACATACACTGAATTCGTATCTTTACCTCTGTAGGGCAAGAAGGCGACCAAATCTAGCACTGTCGGCAGTTCAAGTATCGGTAGTTCTCACGGTGTGACTGGTGGGGTCAACGTCTCTGGTAGGCTTACAACCCTTGATACCTAGGTATCTTCCCCGGTGCTGACGCTATACTAAAGTCAACCTGACCTTGACTTCCGGAGAATAACCATACAGTCAGTATATGTACACACAACAGGCTAGCCAAAACACCCCAGACAAGTCATCACGAGTTAAGCGTAAGCACGCGGACAGCAACGTATCCAGTCCGGTAGCGACGCCACAGAAAGTAGCAAGGGTCAAGAAGGAACCCACAACAAAGCGATCTGTCTCCACCGTCAAGAAAGAGAGCCGCGTCTCAACATCGTCATCAACCTCTTCACGATCTCGCGTCAAGCAAGAGCAGTACGATCCAACGCCGATGCGCTCCTCTCCATACATCAAGTCCGACCCACACCAAAACCACTATCAACGCGAGCCTTCACTACTCCTCAGCGGTACTTACTCCATCGATTGTGCGACTGCTAGCTCCGTTTTCGACGACTATAACCTCGACCTCACGCTCGCTCGCGATTCCTCCCGTGGCTTATGGTGGGCAACATTTCGCTGGGGCGCTTGGGACGGTATCATCCAGATGAACCCAGGTCCAAGTGACTCCAATAGCCTAGGTCTACCTTGTTCACTGGGATGGCGTCTTCGTGATCTAAACACCGGCAAGCTGACGTTTGGTCGTAAGTGTACTGGTACGATGACGTTCTTCAGGGATGGTATGGTGGATGGTTGTCTCTATGAGGTGCCGGGTGTTGGCGATTTGGTTTTCGAGGGCACCAGGATGGCTGGTGGTAACTTGGAGGATGATTTGAAGGAAGAGTGGGATGGCTTTGTTACCGAGGCTTATCGCCGTTGAGCTCTAGGTGGTCTCGATGAGCGAAGACGTATGGCCAGTGATTCTTAGGGCTATTGACGTTAAGAAAGAGTGATCAACTTCTCAAGGACGGTTCCACCAATTTTGCACTGCAACCATCAGCGCTGGAGAGCAGAAATCTCATGTTTCTTATAGTTGTCGCATTTAGCGATAACATTGACTATGACTTGTTAGAACATCAGATACACGCACAAAGCAAGATCCAAGTCAACCAATGAAGATGTTCATCCAAACATTTCTCAATTAGCCTGACAGCTACTTTACGTATAATACACTACAAGTTTCTACAAGAAAGGTTCGAAAAACCTTCTCTTTCTGCGCTCCAATCATTCGCTCTGATATGACGAAAGGCAGCGCAGGACAAACACCACCCAACGCCAAAGCATGACTACCACACGGTATCGTCATCGGCTTCTTCTTCAAACATGAGAAAGCAAGGCGTCTAGAAACATGACACCGAGACGCTAATATATCTATCAACACACAAAGGAAATTATATGCGCAGAGCATGTAATATCAGAAACTCCCGTATCTAGCAGATTTCCTATCGCTGCTGCCATGGACCACGATCCTGTGGATGTCCCTGCGGATGTCGCACTCCGCTCACCCAGTCCATGGGTCCTGCAGGGGGCCGTGAATCGTGTATTGACCCTGGTCCTGAGCTGGGGGCTTGTGGTGGCGGCGGACCCCTCATCTCAGCTCTTCCTCGCATGATACTTTCCCTGTAATGCGCATCTCGTGCATGGCTTTCGCGCATTTCCCGTTCCCTCACGTCTCGCTCAGCTTCTCTTCGCATGTGTTCATCTCGATTCATCGCTGCCTGGTGTTGAGCTTGAGCTTGCTCTTCGCGGATACGATCTGTCATGCTGCGATCGCGAGGATCGCGCATGAAACGATGCGGTTCTTCGGGAGGACGTTGACCATAGAGCGCCTGATTTGCTACGCCAAGTGACGAGTGCGGAGGATGTTGCAAAGGTGGAGGTTGACCATGCTCCGACCTAGACAGTGGGGTCTGGGAGCGTTGAGAGAGATACCCTCGATCTTGAGGCTGAAATCGTATATCTTCATGCATTGGAGGACCGTTCGCACGCAACGCAGGATTGGAAAGTTGTTCACGTAGATATTCAGTCCTTTGAGATAGTTCTCGACTGGTGTCGCGGTCTGAGTGACGAGGATCAAAATCGTGTGTGTCACGAGGATCGCGAGGGCGATAGGGCTCAGTCAGTCTGCTCAGCCCTTGGAAAGGATGCGCTGGATGCTCGTTAGGCGTCTGCGGGTTTGAGTACGACAGATTGGCGTTGGAAGCTTGGGAGTGGTCATTGCGACTAGGTGCGTCTCTTTGCTGTGCCATGTGACTTGTCGACAGATGTGGGCTGGGCCGCATGCCCATAGGTCCGGATGGCGGTACACCACTTCCTGGTGGATCGACCTGGGCATATGGATTTGGCTGCAAAATCTGCGCTGATGCACTCATTGCTTGGGCATGCTGCGCCGCAGTGGTGCTTGGGATGCCGTGTCGAGGCAACGGCCCGGGCGGTCCACTTATGCTTGACGTGCGCGAATGTGGGTTCGGAGAATTGTTGAAACCGGCAAGAGGCGGCGGTGTCGGATTCTGGCGCGGAGTATTATGCTGAGAGAAGACGGCACGGTGGTTGCTAAAGATCCTCTCGTTGACACTCGGTGGCTGAGGCAGGCCCGACGGCGTTGACGAAAGTGGCGTGAGCTGTGGGGTCTGGGATAGCCCTCGGTGGAACGGCTGTTGGGTTTGCCAACTGTCACGCAGACTCGGCCTACTCACTGGTGGTTTATCATCGGTTAAGTCGATTGGCCTGTTCGGTGCTGCATTGGGAAGCGAGGTTTGCTGAGCATATGAAGATGGACGAGTATACGGAGGTTGAGCAGCCATGGGATCCTCGTAAATCGAACGTCTTGACGAAGATGAGTAGCTTTGCGTTGTCGGAGGAGGTGCGATTGGGGCTGATTGCAACGGGGTAGAGGTATGCGACGGTGGGCCTTGTTCGCTAGGTTTCTTACGCCTAGGCTCCTCAGGGTCGGTGTCATTGAGCAACGACATCAGGTTAGACTTGCGTGGCTCTGCAGCTGGCTTTGATGCTACAGGTGGGGGCGTATTCTGCATAGGTGGTGGACCACGCTGAGAATGTTGCAACTGTGTATGCAGCATTGCTTGGGGTTGCGCTGGAGGAAGGCTGACCGGAGGAGGATTTCTAGGCTCCTCCTTGACAGGCGGTGTAAGAATACTCGACCTGGGCGGCAGTTGTTGCGCACCATGACTAGTGCCATGGCTCGGAGAGTATACGTCCGCTGCAGCTTGATTGAGTGATTGCGCTTGTGATGGGTGCCGGGAATGTGAGAATGGCAACGAACGACGTTCTGGCGACCTCATCCCAGAGTTTGAACGTACTGGCGGCATAATTGGCGGTGCCGCACCAGGAGCAAAAGGTCTATGTTGTGACATCTCCTGTGATATCTGACGCCTGTGTTCATGTATCCGGCGTTGATGCTCCTGCTCCTGCTCCTGCTGAACTTCGGACCTACCCACACTGTCTCGTTCTTGATAGTGAAGCCCACGATAGAGAGGCGAATGATGTTGCTCCTGCGCACGAGGCTGGGGTGGGGCATGCTGCTGCTGTTGCTGCTGCTGCTGCTGCAGTGGTCTATGTGGTTGTTGGTTATTCGATGGTTGCGAGGGTGGTCGTGCCTCAAACCTTGAAGGCTCTTCTGAGAAGTATCCAGCTCGTGGCCCTTGTGGCTGCGGCTTATGCTGCGACATGGAGTGCTGGTGATGATGTTGTTGTGGTTGCGCACGTTGAGGTGGAGCGGGCGGCGACTGCTGTGGTGGTATTGAGGGTACAGACGCAAGGCTAGTCTCTGGTAGGGCAGGATATCCGGGTGGAGGCACCATCGGCTTGCTTTGCATAGGTGCTTGAGCAATGGTGGAAAACCTCGAAGAGGGAGTCGAATGCGGAGGAGATGCTTTGGGAAGCGCAAGCGGGTTCGGAGGTGGAGAACCATGTTCAGGCGTGGGTGCGATGGGACGGATTGGTCCCGCCTGCGTACTCTCATATCGTCTCTTGGGTGCTGGAGTTGGCGTTGGCGGTGGTCCTAGATCATCACCTCGTTCTCTTCGGGCATCTGCCTCTTTTGCTACCTGCTCCAAGTCTAGCTTGCCACTCTCAACGAGACGCAGATATTGGTTCTTGATCATGGTATGCGTTTTTGTGCCCATGTGGTTTGCGATTGCTATCCAGTCAGTGCCAAAGTGTGCAACATTCTTGTCAAAGTCTTGCAACTCGGAGACGGACCAATAGCTAGACGGACCGGGTCTCGCGCCAGGCTGTGTCTTCGGTCGGTCCATGAGGCTGCCTGGCAAGCCAGATAGCTGCTGCAAATCACCAGGCAGCATCAACTGGTCCTCCATAGGGATGAGGGGCATAGGTATGGGCATATCGCCCATCGGCCGTTTGCTGAGATCATCCTCCATCTTGACTCCCAGGTTCTTGTCCTTACGATCAACCTTGACAGGTGAACCCACGGGAGCCGCGGCAAGTGGCATATTCTTTGCCTTCCGGCCGAGCTTGTCTTTCGCAGCCTTTCCGCGCCGCATGGCCTTCTCTTGTGTGTCGTCGGCATCAGTCGGCCTGCGTGCACGGCCTGGAATGGGAATTCCTGTGATCGGGTCGAACTCAGTCTCCATTGCGCCAAACTTGGGTGCTGCTGAGCGCCTAGGTCGTCCAGTATCAGTAACAGGCAAGGGCAAACCATCCTCTCCCGGTCCTTCGGGTCGGTCCATGTTGGCAATAGCTCCACGGCCACGACCGACCGCTCCACCACGTTTCCTGGAAGCCCGCGGTTTCCGAAGTTTGCCTTTGTATTCTCTGCCCCATTTGGTAGCATAGTAGTGATTGATACAGTCTTTGTATGTACGTTCGGTCCCGACTTCTTTGTATAAGACTTCAGCCAGCTTACCCCATTTCTTAGCGTACTGATCCTTGTAGTTCTGCACCATGACGCGGTGTTCGTCAGGAGTGAAGTCGTCCTCTGGTGGCTCGTAATGGAACACGAAGATGCCTTGGCCGGGTTCGCGCTGGAAATTGGTGTCAATAAACCTTCTCCGCTGAGCCTCGGCCTCGGTAAGTTCCAAAGGTAGATCAGCCTCCTTTTCCGGATCAGCCATGGCTTTCCTTGGTTCCTTGTTCTTCCCTAACTTCTCTTCCTCTGCAGTCTTCAAAGACTCTTTGATAACAGCTTCTAAATCAAGCTCAGTAGCCCACCGACTTGCATGACTTCTCCGGCCTGTAGGTGCCAGCGATCCGTCCAGGATTCCAGTCATCGCAGCGTTCTGCACATCGGGGGTGACGGCTTTCAGTGTGGGCTCAGCTGATGGCTGCCTGTCCGGATCATCTTGATCGCGCTCTTCGTCCAAAGGACGGATTGCAACTCGCCACTCTCTGTATGCAGCTGCGTATCTTTCGAGTATCTGATCGGTGTTTAGTTCAGGCTCGATGCTTTTGCGCAACTTGCTTCGAATGGCATTCATGACATCGTCAGAGAGACTCGGCCGGTCTTGTCCAATGTCGGATAAAGGCGTTGGAGGACCTGATCCTAGATACGGCAACGAGCTGAGGTCGGGTAGAGTCTCCTGCTCGGCAGAAGTTTCACGCCGCAAACGAAGCGCCATTGTCGCGGGCGCAGCCGACCTTTCTTCGGTCTCCTCTTTGTCTTCCATCTCGACGTCCTCTGACTCTTCAGCTTTGGGAGTCGGTAAATCTGCCGTAACGCTCTCTGGAAGTGGCTGGACGGGAACTGGCTTTACAGGGAGTTCTTGCGCAGGTGAGGGACGTGAATATTCCTGCTCCTGTTCCTGTCCTAATTCCTGATCCTGTTCCTGAAGCAATGGTGTGCTTATTTCCTCGGTAAGCTCCACATCGGGCTGCGTTTGTGGGAGATGGTCGACGTTCAAGCATGAAAGCAAAACGATCTCTTGCAAGGGTGTCGTAGCTCGGAGGTGTGGAGCACTCAAATCAACCCGTTTGGCTTCCAGGCGCGCTCGTTCTCGGTTGTATTTCGCCTCAGATTCAGCGAAGTCTTCCTCGTCAAGATCAAGATCATCATCAGAGTCTTGCAAAGCCTCCGGAGCGGATGACGCAGCCGACATAGGTGGTTTGGCCATGCGAGGTGACGCTTCTGCCATAACTACGTCAGAGTATCGCCTGGTCTCGATCGGAGTAGGTTTGGGTGAGGGTGCCGCAGGACGCTCCGCAGACACTGCACGTTCTCGTGGCCGCTCGGGTTCAGTTGAGATGCGCGAGAACGACGGTGACACTGATTTGGCTTGTGAGTTTCGTTGAGTCTGCGTTGCCGAGATACTGTTCTCAAGTCGGGGGGCTTTGGGAGCAGTGCCGAATGGTCGTTCCCGATCTTCCACCGGAAACTCGCGCTTAGTGGGGACCGAAGGTCGATTGGAATTGAAACCAGGTCGTACCCATTGCATACTCTTGGGTCCTCCATTCAATGGACCTCTAGCTGGGGGGAAGCCAGGTCGGTCAGATTGTGGGTAAGATGGAAGCGGCCTAGGAGCCATCGGTGTTCGGTCAGCCTTTGGTCCTGTAGGAATATTCGCTGGTAAACTTTGCGGTGATGTGTTCATCGCAGAACCTCCCCCACTACTGCCACGTGGACCAAAACCTGAGGGGTTTGCACCAGGAGATGCATCTCGAGGGGCGTATTGTGGTAAAGTCGCTCTAGAGAACGAAGGTGATACGTTGACACGTAGAGCTGCTTGAGGGGCTGTGGGTGGCGCACGCGGTCGTGGAGCAGGACCCTGAGGAGGGGATTTCGCCGGACCTGATGGCGCATTAGGAGCCGTTGAAGGAGCCGTTGGCATAACGGATGGAGCTTTAGGTGGTGCAGGCATTTGTGGCGACATTGGAATCTTGGCAGCCACATTGTCTGAAGCTGATGCATCAGTGGGCTGAGATGGAACAGTGTGAGGTGGAATGGAAGGTGGTTCCATACGTGCTGGAGCTGGATGCGCCATTCTGTTCTCTTGTTTCGGAGCGTCTGTAAGCAAGGGACGATCCGGCGCCCGATCGGCTTTTGGTCCAGTAGGCGGTAAAGTTGAAAGGCCTGGGGGTATAGCCGCTTTTGGTGCAGTAGGGACTACGGTGGCCTTCACTGGGGTGACGGGAGTAGCGGGAGTGAGTGGAGCAGTAGAGGAATTAGTAGGAGCAGGGGCAGGTTGAGCAGGTTTCGATGGCGCTACTGGGGCAGCACTTGATTTACTGTCCGAAATAGGCGCCCTCCAAACATTGGATCCGCCAAAGGCTGGAATGGAAGCAGGAGGCGACGAAGCACGCGGAGCATACCTTTCTCTGGACGCTTCTGCGCGGCTGGCTAGGAGAGCCTCGTCTTTGCCTGGCTCGCGGCGAGGATCCTTGGCAGAGAGAGGATCAATGGCGAGGGAAGATCGTCTCGAGTAAGAATCACCTTGTGGTCCTAGTCTATCAGACGGAGATGCGTGATGAGCAGAGTGCGGTGTTGGACCTGTGGGTGTACCGGGCAGATGTCGCAGATCAGAGGGACCTGGACCTCGATGTGTGTCTAATGCCCGCAGTCCAGGCTTCGCAGCACCTGCTGGGCCAATGTAGGAGTCGTATTCTCTGGGAAACCTTCTGTCATCGCGGTCTCTCCTGTCGAAATCACGATCTTCGCGAACGTCTCTCTCTAGGCGCCTTGGGGGCGTCCGACTACGCGGTCGATATGTTCGTTCTGGAATGCGATCACGTGAGTCGTGATGTCTATCGCGGTCGTCGTTGTGAAAGTTTCGGCCGCGTCCAGCGAAACCACCGCGTCCACGTCCAATTCCACTACCACGGTAAGATGACGCTGTACCAAGAGGTGGGGGATCAGAGTAGGTTGAGCCCGCAGAGGGGGGGCCGTCTCGTGAATTTCGTCGGGCGCGGTTGACATCTAGATCTCGCGGTCCAAAATCCCTCTGGTCGCGAGAATCTCTTGAGTCCCGGATAGGTGACCGCCTTGGTGGAGTCGGCCGTCTCTCACGCCGATCAAAGTCGCGATCTCGGTCGCGGTCTGCCCTCCAGGAGTTTTGAGAGTTATGCGGAAATCCAGGACCGCTACTCAATGGAGGTGCAGTTCGCAGGGGCGTGGCTTCACCACGTCCAGCGAATCCGCGACCTCTTTCATCGCGTGGCGCTGCAGACGCGCTTGATGGCGGACCCACCGGCGGGCCACGTGGCGGGTCAGCAAGTGATTTTGGACCTTTGGGGATCTCTCTTTGAAAGCCACCTGGCTCTGCATTTGGCCTGAAGGTCTCGTTACCCCTTGGGGGGTATCCGCCGCCAAAGTTGGATGGCCTTCGGTCTCGGTCCCGATAGGGCGGAGACCTGTCGCGGGCATATCTGCCGTTCTCCGGGTACCGTGAGGCAGACATGTCGATGATTTCTTACTGTAAAAGGAACTTGCAACTGCGGCATGGGCACGGGTAAAGGTCGTATGTCAGAGCAGATGACGAATCTCCGTCGTGATAGCAGGTCTGAATCGCGTGCAGTAACGTCGTAAGGGAAGCTGTCGCAAAGAGAAGAGAAAGTGGCCGGGTATAGTGTCTTATGTCGATCTCAAACGGTACAGTACAATTGGTCGAGCGAATCGCGGTGTCCTAGACTGACGTTGGCCACAGGACGTCAATCGAAGTTCGTGTTTGCAAGCCGTGGTAGACGAGGCGCTAGCGGCAAGGCCCGTGCTTCGAGACCAGGAAATTAGGGAAAGCGCCAAACCCCCGATCCGCGGTGGAACAGGTGCAGCTTCTCGGCGCCGGGAGCTGAGATTCGATCTGCTATCGTCGCCTTTACGCCCAAAACGCCCTTTTCGTGCTGCAAACGCGTCAAACTGGTGCTGGAGGTCAGGAAAAGTCGTCCAAAGATGGCCGTGAGTGTTAAGAAGCGCGTGGTAGTCAACAAAAGCAGTCCCGTGCCGTGTTGAAGATGTTCTGCAGCCCGTTGACGTGGCGCTGGGTCTCTTTGTGAGGGAGGCCCGGGCACGTGAGACTGCACCTTGTTGGTGCTGGAAATGAAGAGTAGAGCGACTCTTTAGCCAGGCAGCGCGCCGGTGATCAGTGGCAGCATGGTGTTGTGTCGGGTGTCGTTGTCGCAAGGTAGGAGAAAGGGAACGTCGAGGAGACCAGACACGAGAACGAAGCACTGACCTGCACCTGGGCAGCCATGACGGATGCCTGCAAGTCAAAATGGACGCCCCGGCTGGCCTGCAACGGCCTAGCGAGGGGAATCCATTCAAGCATGACAGCCCGTCTCTGATTGGACCCAGATTTGAACATTCTCGATTATCTGCAGGGGTGGCAGCCGCTGGTTTTGCTTCAGATTCCAGCCCTGGCTCCACTAGGGGATTTGATGACGATCCCACCCGCGCCCTTCACCAGCACCAGCAAGACACCGATGCATGGCAGCTGAAGGACACGACGCACGACTGAAATGCCGCCTGTAGCACCGTGTGACGACGCGACACTGTGGCACTTCCAGACGTTGATGACAGAAGGGCTGGCACCCTCCTTAGCAGGATCGACCCGAGAACTAGCCACACAGTGGCAGGGATTAGACTGCCATGCGTTAGTCCCAGTCCACGGGTGTGGGGGCTTCCTTTTGTCAAAATCTGCCGCCGCACCGACTCACAAATAGCACATTACGAAAGCTGCAAACGTCGAGAGTGCGCCGAGCAGTCCGAACACACGTCAAATTATCCAGGCAGTGCTGCTCCATCGACCGTTCACCACAAAAACGCCTATCACCATGGCTAGCAGCTCTTCGGCCCCTACCGGCGCCACTGATGCAGTCTTGAAGCCATCCGAGCCCGTGCCTGAGGGTGCGCAAGAGGTGCAGGGCATCGACTTCAACCAGTATACGTCGCGCAGCATCACAGTCGAGGAGCTGGTGGGCGGTTATGCCAACATGGGCTTCCAGGCAACTTCGGTGGGAGAGGCTGTGCGAATCATCAACGACATGGTAAGTTGCTTCTGCCCGGAATATCCGAATGCGCGTGCTGCGGCGTGTCAGCGTCAAGTGCGGAGACAGCACTTGCGTATGCCGGGAAGTTCCCGTCCGTGCACTGTCCCGAAAGACGAAACATTTAGCCTGATTTGGCGACGCGACACCACCGTATCGAGAAGCCTGGGGTTCCTGCTAATGAGAAACAGCGCGCATGGAAGGACACTGAGACAAATGAGCCCACGACGATATTCCTTGGATACACGTCGAACCTCATATCTTCGGGTCTGCGCGAGACACTACGGTACCTGGTCCAGCACAAACACGTCTCTGCCATCGTGACAACTGCAGGCGGTGTTGAAGAAGACTTCATCAAATGTCTTGCGCCAACCTACCTCGGCGCTTTCTCTACTCCCGGCGCCGGGCTGCGAGCGAAGGGCATGAACCGCATCGGTAATCTTGTCGTCCCTAACAGCAACTACTGCGCGTTCGAGGACTGGGTAGTGCCTATCCTGGACAAGATGCTGGAGGAGCAGGAGGCAAGTAAGAAGACAGACGAGCCATTGCACTGGACACCAAGCAAAATCATCCACCGTCTGGGCAAGGAGATCGACGACGAGCGATCCGTCTACTACTGGGCATGGAAGAACGATATTCCAGTGTTTTGCCCGGCGCTGACAGACGGAAGCCTGGGCGACATGTTGTACTTTCACACATTCAAGTCGTCGCCAGAACAGCTACGCGTCGACATCGTAGAGGACATCAGGAAGATAAACACGATCGCAGTACGCGCGAAGAGGACCGGCATGATTGTCCTAGGTGGAGGACTAGTGAAGCATCACATCGCCAACGCGAACTTGATGCGCAATGGAGCTGATAGTGCGGTGTACATCAACACGGCGCAAGAATTTGACGGGAGTGATGCGGGAGCGCGGCCAGACGAGGCTGTCAGTTGGGGGAAGATCAAGCTAGATGGAGATAGCGTCAAAGTATACGCAGAGGCGACGGTAGTGTTCCCGCTCATCGTTGCGGCTACGTTCGCACGGGTTCAGCGGTCGCAAGGGCAATGACAAAATGCAACTTGTAGCACACCAACAGCTCGTATAATGGTGACGGAGACACTGCTGTTGACCGAAATAAGTGGGCTGGTATGGGAGCCATGACTGCTGTATGGAGCAACGTTGTTGGCGCGGAGAGCTGACGCAGGGAAGGCGCGGTCGGGCCCACCTTCCCCACTAGTCTCAAAGCTCTAGCGTGACTGCCTAGCCGGTCACTGTGGAGCGTTAATCGATAAGGGGAGCTGAGCTTCGTGTTGATGATGCTGATGACGATGGCGCCATGCCTGCGCAGCCTTGTGCTATGAGTCAACCAGCAACTTGGGTATTCTGAGAGGCTGTGAAGGGCGCAGAGCCTCCAGGTTGAAGGCGTTGATGCTCAAGCTCCATCGGTTCGGGATAGCGCAGCGCGTGGGCCAGCCGATTCCCAGGTAGCTTTACCGCCTCACTCTGTCCCTCTGTTGGCCATCGTGCCGCATGCTGGTAGGCTGCAGCCTTCTTTAAGCTCCAGCCACGCCCAGATCCAATCTTCCCTTGTCCAAACCAACTTTCTAATATCTAGCCATACCCCTAGAAGCACCCATCGCTTGCTGTTTCTATTCGTAACTATCCATACACTTCATCGACGCGATAACGCTACTAGCTTGGTACACTTACCGATCAAAAGCAACACACCACCGACGTGCAGCCTCGTGCATAACTTCTCTCACCAATCCGTCCATCTGCACTTTTACCCAGCCATACCTTCACCTCAAACTGCCCAAACGCTCTTTCTCTCCACTTTCACATGCGCCTACACCTACAGAGCAAACATGAGCGTCAGCGTAGAGCAACCGCTACACTTTAGCCAGCAGCTCTCCAGCCCACCACATTCGCCAAACCACGTACTTCACGCGCACACGCCAGCTTCTCCTCAACCTCCGCAACCACCACCGGCTGCTGAACTAGACATGAATACCTCAACCTCTGCTGACACGATGCCGTCTACAGGCCAGAATCATGATCGGGGCGATGCAGAAATGCAAGATGGAGATGAGCCCGCCCGTCGCGATGCTTCCACAAACACCATCGCTGTTGAGATATCGGCTATAGACGAGGACGCCATGGACGTCACACCGGATGTCGAGGCGGAGTCGTTACTGCCAAATGGCTCATCTGAGGCGCAAGAGGCTACTATCACTACACCGGCATCACCTGCGCCTGTGCCAGACGATACCGTGAGTCAGACTCTACCATCATGAGAGCGCTTCAACTTGATTGTTCATTACTGACGCTGCCTAGACAGAGACAATCATTCCCACAGACCCCCCTCCACCCGTTGACCCCGACGCGCTACCTCCACCTGTCGATCCAAGCACACAACCCCCGCCTCCTCCTCCGCCAGTCGATCCCCCGCGCTCCGACTCAGGATCTTCTGACGACGAAGATGGTCTCCCACCATGGCATCCGTTACCAGAAGACTTATCGTCGCCTGACGAGGGAGAATTGAAGGAGATCGAGGAGCGGGGAGAACACAGTGCTCTGGATCACGAATACTGGGAGGGCGAAGCGTTCAAGCCTCTGGAATACCCAGAGTACACTGCTAGCGAAGCAGGGCGTATTCACTGGGCGATCGATGCATACAATGGCACGCAGGACAAGCAGAACCATGAAGTGGTCATGAAGTCTGAAATCGTCACTATCGGAGGCCATCAATGGCAAATCAAGTTCTATCCTAAGGGGAATGATTCGGATTATCTCAGCGTCTATCTCGAATGTCTAAGTGTCCAGGACACAAAGGACAACAAGGATAATGAGTTCACCAAAGACGTGTCTAGCGACGAAACAGTTGAACCAAGGGGAGAGAAGAAGGCAGATGAGATTATGGTGACCGCCGAACATGCACCAACAGACAGCGTGACCGAGGCATCTGCTCAGGTCGTGAAGCTTGCGCAAGACCGACGTGACAGCGCCAAATCAGCATCAGAAGACGTTGAAATACCAGTAGTCACTCAGCATACACCCCTTCCGCTTCTTGGGTCGAAGAAGATGCCTAAGCGAAACAGTGTTGCCGCGCAGATATCGGTTGTTCTGTACAATCCAACAGAACCTCGGGTGAACTACTCGCGGAATGCTTTGCATCGTTTCTGCAAAGGCTCTCCTGACTGGGGTTGGACGCGTTTCCATGGACCGCACTACGACATCTCTCGTCGCATACCCGGCCAGCGCATGGCACTCCTTCGTGACGACAAACTTGCCTTCACTGCCTACATTCGGGTTGTGGAAGACCAAACCGACTGTTTGTGGGAGCATCCGATCAGGGAGAACCCGTGGGACAGCTTCGCGATGACAGGACTACAAGGCCTCATGCTCGGAGAAAACGCTAGTGCGCCTGGCGGCAACATGATCTCTGCAGTCTCCTCATGGATGCTTTTCAAGCCCTTCCGGAATCTCTTGTACAGCATCAACGTTCCAGATCCCAACGATGAGCCATTCACTCGGCCTAAGCCACTCACCAGTGCTTTGCAGCAAGTCTTATACATGCTACGAACTCAGGTTGAGCCTGGGGCTGGCCCTGTCGCTCTCGATGATATCATCGATGCATTAGAGTGGTATCGTATACACGAGGGTCTCGACAAGTTGGATGTGATGGAGACATGGGAAGTCTTGCGTCTCAAGCTTGAGGAAGAGCTCCAGGGTACACCTTACGCTGCACGACTGGATGCTATCTGTGGACCGAAACGCGACTATTCAACCGGTAGACCAAGTTACCGTGTACCTGTAGAAGGTGTGGACAGCATGCAAGATGCTGTTAATCAGTCACCTGATCTCACCATTTCGGGGCAGCATCTGCCAGAATTGTTGACGATTGAGCTGGATCGGCACAAATTCGACAGTGTGAAGACACGCTCGCACATCAAGGTTCTGAACAAGGTGACCTTGGATGATCAAATAGTAGTTGCCGATACTCCGTACACACTATACGGGTTCGTGGTCCACAAGCAAACACTTCAGTCTTACGTATACCAACCGATACTCCGACCCGAAGGACCAAATTCACGCTGGTACAGCTATTCTGACAGCAAGGATGAGAATCATGTCAAGTGCCTTTCCAAACACGAAGCAGTGGACGCGCATGAAGGCAAACCTAGCAGCACTCAGATCATTGGCAATGACCCCGTGGCATACATTGCCATGTATATCCGAGACGATGTAGCTCGCTCAGCATTCATTTCAGACACTGAGTCAGAGCGGTGGAACGTCCCAGAATGGCTCAAGTTGGAGGTAGAATCCAAGAAGAGTTCAACTTCCCTTCCTCCGATGCCGCCACCACCGATCGGCGAGCCAAACTCTGTGGTCGATCAAGAAAAGGGAAAAGAAGTAGTCGCAGAGCCGCCAAAGTTGCTTGACTTCCGTGTCATCGATTCTCGAGCATACCTAGAACATGAAGGTCCGGGTGTCTTCGACGCTTTTGATGCGCGTTGGGAAGCTGAAAACTCAAAGCACGTTCATACATTGTCGCTATCAAGCAATGACGGGTGCAAAGACATTCGTGAAAAGTTGATGGGTGTTTTGACCGATGTCAAGGATCCGCGACAAATAAAATTTTGGTTCCTTGATCCTACACGTGGAGCGTTCGATCGACCGAACTTTCTCAGCACTGGAATTATTGAGTTCTCTGCTGGCAGCTACAATAGATACACAGAAACCAATGGGTGGACTCTGGAGGTGCCGCCATCTGCCTGCCGGAGGATCTGGGTGCATATCACCGACTTTGAAAAGCTTCCTGAGCTTCCAAAAGAAGAAGAGAAGGGTCCGGAGGCCTTCCACCAAAGCACTTCTTCTTCGTCTCTACCGGGAGCTGATGCTGAGATGGATGCGATCCAAGTGGTTGAGAGTGCTGTCGAGCCATCTTCTAGTGCCTCACCACCGCAGATACCTACACCATTGGAGGATACGTTTATGAGCGGTTCCGACGAGCCTACTGCTGCACTATTGGAGCAAGCATCGCCTCGCGGGTCAGAAGTTAATACTCCACCACCGCCGCCACCTACAAACAACACGGAAAGCAATGATACTGCTATGTTAGAAGTGGAATCAACTCCCGCCGTTGACCCACCGGCTGTTGATGTCATAATTCCAGGCGCCGGCCCTGGTGATACCGAGATGGGTGGTACACAAGAAGACATGCCGCCACCTCCACCTCCACCAGTTGAGACCCCTGTACAGCACCTGCAACCACCCCCGCCAATGCGGAGCCCCACACCTGAACCACCTCCCGACGAGATCTACTTCTTCCTTAAATTCTGGAACCCTGAAAAGCAAGCCCTAGAGGCACGAGGATCGCACATCGCACTCAAGTCTGCTAGGGTAGATGAGACACTTGTGGTATTGCTTGGCCTGGAAGACAAGAAGAAGATGGAGATGTGCGAAGAAGATGAGTTGACTAACACACGGTCTCTAAAGCATCGCCGCACCTTTGCGCAAGTGGATTTACACAACGCGTGTATCATCGTCGTTTCGTTACCACTCTCGGCTGAGAAGCGTAACGCACTTGCAGCCCGCGCGGCATTTGCAGACCCCCAGAGCTACCTCCAATTCCGCGCTTTCGCACGCAATTTCCCTCACAAGCTGCAAGGCCACTTCACCTACAACTACTTCTCTAGCGAATACTACAAGGGCGAGATTGTCAATGGTTTTGCGCACGGTCACGGTACTAGGATATACCACTCTGGCGCCACTTACGATGGCTCCTTCCGCCTGGGCAAACGCTACGGCCATGGCCTGTACACTTTCCAAAACGGCGACACATATGACGGTGACTGGGTCGACAACCAGCAACACGGTACTGGTACCTATGTCGAAGCCGCAAACGGCAACACATATGTCGGCGGATGGCAGAACGACAAGAAATTCGGTGAGGGTGTTACGCACTGGAAGAACGCCCAAGAATCTGAGCGACTGTGTAGAATCTGCTGGGATGGGGAGGCAGAAGCGGCTTTCTACGATTGCGGTCACGTGGTAGCTTGCTTGAC